CCTCTCTCCCCAGCTTGGCGTGCTTTTTGTGAGGAAACGCTGCAAGATACTTGGTTCTCAACCGAAGGGGCCCCGAACTTGATTTTGACTCAGAGAGGATCCAGGCCTGGCGATCCATTGGCTGACTTGCTGTTTGCCGTCCTACTCAGCGACTTAGATCAGGAGCTTCACCGCTCACTCCAAGCTGCTGGGTTCATTGATGCCCAGCCTAGGTTGGATTTCCAAACAGGTTCCCTTGACGGCCAGGAGCCTCTTCCTTCTATAATATGGGCTGATGACATGGCAATACCTCAGAGTTTTTGCTCTCCCAGCGAGTTGTATTTCAGACTTCCAGACCTGTGCCGCATAGTTTTCGAAGTTTTTGCTTCGTACGGCATGCAGCTTTCTTCCGGATCTGGGAAGACGGAAATCATTTTGCGGTTTGTGGGATCGCATGTTAAAGCCTGGTCTCATCGCCTTTTTGACATAGATCAGGGCTTTGTGACCTTCCCTTTTGCTGGTGAATCAATCAAGATCAATGTGCCCAAAGACTACGTGCACCTTGGTTCAGGCTTGGATTCCAAGGGCAAACTTCATTTCGAGATATCCAGGAGAACTGCCAGCTCACGAGAACCTTTGCGATTGCTTCGGCCTCAATTGCTTCGGTCCCGGAGTGTCAGCTCTCGCACCAAGCTGCAAGCAGTGCGCTCCCTGGCTCTTTCCAGATTGCTGTACGGAGTAGAGTCGTGGCTATCTTTGACTTTGGCATCTTTTCGGATGTGGTCTTCAGCCGTGATAGCCATCTATCGCTCAGCATTGCCGCGCAGACTTGATTGCTTAAAACCTTTAGCCAAAGATGAAGTTTTGTCCCAAACTTTCTTGCCAGATCCTTCTCAATTGTTGGCGTTGTCTAGGCTTCGCTTTTTGGGCCAATTGGTTCAATTTGCACCCCAGCAACTTTGGTCTTTTATTTTTTGGGAAGCTTCTCTTCACAGTGACTCCTGGGCTGATCTTGTGAATGATGACCTGGCTTGGCTGCAGCGTCATGTGCCGCTGGTAGACCCTTGTCCTGCAGAACGTTTCCCATCACACTCCTGGTTGGCTTGGCTTAACATGGTGGGAGCACATTGGCATGGAAAACTGAAGAAGACGAACCGCAGTGCCGTGCGATATCGTGTGGACGCTCTTGCTTGGCTGCAGTGGAGAACCCACTTCTTCAGCATCCTTGAAGAAGCAGGATTGGTTCCGCCGGTTGCTGCGTTGCCAAGCACCCTGCATTGCTGTGACTTGTGTGATGCCAGTTTCGCTTCCGTCAAGGCATTGGCGCTGCATTGTGCACACAAGCATGGATGGCGAGCTGCTGCGCGGGCCTTCTGTGATGGACCTGTTTGCCATGCATGTGGGATGAACTATCGTTCCCGGCCGAGATGCCTTCGCCATTTAGAATACCGCAGGACGGGGTGTTTGACTTGGTTGATGCAGGTGTTTGCTCCTATGCCGCAGGAAGAGCAGATCCGCTTCGATAAGTGGGATCTCCATCAAAAGAGAGCCGCCCGAGCGGATCCTTTGCTGAGACGTGAGCTTGCCTTGCCTTGCACGCGGGAATTTGAGCCTGCTGCAGACCTTCGGCGTCTCTTGCCAATTGAAAAGGCGGAATCTCAACAAGCAGTCGATCGCGAGATTGTCCAGCACAGGGACCATCACTGGATGAAACTGAAAGAGGCCCTTGTTGAAGATTCAGAGCGCGCCTTTGCTGTGACGGCTTCCAGCAATGTCCTGAGCTCTGCTTGCTCTCCACGGCCTGTTCCGGGGACCCCAGTGTATCTGGTGTTGCATCTTTTCAATGGTCAGCGTAAGCACGGCGACTTACAGCATTGGCTTGAACATTTTACTGTGGATCAGCCTTTTCGTTTGTTGACCTTGTCATTGGATGTGGCCATTGACCCTGTCCACGGGAACCTTGCTGATGCTGATACATTGAGTTTCTGGTGCACACTTTTGCGGGAGCATTTTGTTCACTCTCTTGTAGCGAGTCCTCCCCACAGCACTTGGGCTGTTGCCAGGCATCGTGAGCAAGCGGCTCTTGGCGAGGATGGCGAACCTCTTTTTCAAGTGAGACCTATCAGGTCAGCAATGAGCCCTTTTGGTTTGTGGAGTTTGACAGATTCTGAAGAAAAATATCTTTTTAGTGAATCTGAATCCTTGAGAGCAGCTTTCACTGCAGCTGCTACTCAGGTTGCTTCTGGCCATACTGGTATAATAGCTCACCCCAGTGTTCCTGATTTGTCAGAGTGTGCGTCTATTTGGAAGTTGCCATATACGAAGGCCTTGCTTGCTTTTCCGGCTGTTAAACGGCTGTATGTGGAACAGGGCCAATTCGGTCAGGTGTCGCGCAAGGGGACTCACTTGCTTTCAATAGCCTTGCCAGATCTTGAGAGTTCATTTCAACAGTTGGCTCAACCCATGGCTATTTCCAAAAATAGTGTTGGTTGGAACTCCCACAATCTGACTTTTCGCACTGAGGCCTTGCAGGCTTATCCTTCCAGGTTCAGTATGGCCATGGCCCGGTCAATTGTGCACGCAGCAGTCCATGCACATAAGACTGGCAGGTTGAGGGATATCCGGCATGACCCCCGATTTGCTAGAGTTCATAACTTGTATGTTGGTTCCATCAAAGGGGCTATGTCCGGGGACCTCTTCACGGGGATGGCACGAAGAAAGGATGGTCTGGATGCCCCCCTTCCCACATTTAATTAGGTGCCTGTCCGCCTACGTCGTTCCGACATTGTGGCGTGGAAATGAGGAATGAGGAAAAAAAAATGAGATAAAATGAATCCAAAGATAACCCAAGGCCTCTCCCAAGTCCCCAGGGCGTGTCCCCGTCCTTCCCGTTACAGGCAATGGACTCTGCATTGAGGGCCGTTGGAACGATGCCTCGATCACGGGGCGCCTGGAGCGTCGCTTGGATCTGGGGCCTCTTTTGTAGCCATGGGCCATGGGATTTTGACGGGGAAAAAAAGGATAACTCCCAGGAAACATGGTGAACTAACATAGCTATTGGTGATTTACCCTCTGGTAAACCAACATAGCTATTGAAAATGACCATGTTTAATGGGAAAACTCACTATGTCTATGGCCATTTTCAATAGCTATGTAACAAATTACCAGAGGGTAACTCCCAGGAAACTATGATAACATAACTATCAAAATCACTAAATATTGCACAATTCTGGCAAAACAAATCACAACATGTGGATTTTTGTTGGGGTCATTTCAGACAAATACTGACATATTGACTGTATTGGATTTCAGATGGGTGAATTATTGTAATTTAGCCAAAGCATGTAGTAACACGAGGTTTGTTTACCATTATAAAGTTGATGAGCAAATAACCAGGATAAATATGGATAATCCTGATGAAGGAACACGAGAAAAAATGCCTGACTCCACAACTTGATGCAATTCATGGGCAATTGTCACACGAGTTTGTGTCTCAGTGACTGTCCCGGGTACATTCGGATGTACTTGGGGTGAAGTCAACACCAAAAGTCACCTAAGAAACCAACATGGGAACATTATCTTCCCGGCCTTGGGAAATGTCATCGGCTATGATGTGGATATGGTCACTACGAATATCATGTCCCAAGACAAATAATGCATATAGTCATGTACATATATTATATTATATTATATTATGTTATGTTATGTTATGTTTTATTATATTATATTATATTATCATGTCCAAAAATGGTATTATAGGTTCACACTTGTTCACATATCATACATATATATATATATACGTATATATATATATATCATATTTATATATAATATTTATACAACTCTACCTATCCATCCATGACTTCTGACCGCCTCACTGTCTCATGTCCGGCTGTGCGGTGAGGTGGATCCAGTGAGTTCCAGTGAGATCCTGAAAACATCAAATCCACATTGGCAATCATTGATGAACACATGGCAGTGTTTATTCACTATAACATATATATATATAATATAATATAATATAATATAATATAATATAATATAATATAATATATATATATTTGATATGATATGATTATATATATATACATATATATATAATAAACAAAAATATATATATTATGATATGATATAATATGATATGATATGATATATATATATATAGCACTCCATTCTAGCATCTTCTTTGCTGCATCTCAGGCACCAAAGAGGAGGGATGGGGACAGCCGCTTGGCAGATCTGGCAGATCGGCCTTCAGGGGAGCCTCCGGCCATCAATGGCGGTTTCCATCAATGGGAGATCCCCAATAGCTGGATGGTTTACCCTCTGGTAAACTAACATAACTATAGAAAATCACAATTTGTAATGGGAAAACTCACCATAAATGGCCATTTTCAATAGCTATGTTAGTTTACCAGAGGGTATTTCATGGAACAGCCGTCTATAATGATTATAATTAATGGATGAGAACTGGGGGTACCCCCATGACTTCGGAAACCTCCATTTGTAGATGTATTTGCTGCATGTGGTGACCCTTGCCTGGTTCATAGACTGATAGATCGATAGGTAGATCCAAGAGGTACAGGGCCATGAAACTTGAGGCATCGGAGGTGACGCTGGTTGCAAGTTTGAACCAAACATCCAAGTCTTCCTCTCGCTGTTTTCCTTGTGCTCGATCATGGAAAATCCCTAGCATTAGCGCACATGCCATATTTTTTGTAGTTCCAAGTATGCCTCCTATGCAAATGCCAGCCTATCTAGGTTGACGAGATAGATACTGTAACACTATAGTTTGCCGGATAGGAGATGTGAAATGCTGCCATGGTGAACTCGCCGTGTTTTGATTCTGATTGGCTTCACATTTTGGGTCAAATTCAGCCCCAAAATTTGTCGATCCAGTTCATCCCATGAAATCATGTTCAATCCATTTCCAGCCAACCTCCACAAAATGTCATTTTTCTTAAAGATATCCCAAATCTCCAAGTGACCGACCTTTTAGTCACCAGGCTGCCCCTCCAGGTGGGCCTCCTTCTTCTTGGCCGAGGGACCTGAAGAACTCTTGGGGCACCGAATGGTGGCATGTTCCCCGGCCAAGTTCTCGAAACCTCTTGGGTTTTGGGATGTTTTGGGACACTCCATTGACTAGCTCCAGCTCTCGAACTTTCTACAGGCATAGTTTGAAGATCTTTCACAGTCCTTCTCATTGACTGGAGGTAAGAAACCATCCCGGCAGTTGTATCTGGCACTGGATATTACTGCCAATTCAATCCTTTGATCTTCATTGATGAGTTTGCCGGAGAGGCAAGAGAACCAGTGGCGGAAACGTGTTCAACCCCAAAACAGGCAACTTGGCAATGCAGAAATTGGACCGGAAGGGCTAAGGTTTGTTGAAGACCCGCAGACTGGTGCTTCAACAATTGCAGAACGCAGTGACTTGAGCTACAGATGCTACAGCCATATCCACGGTTTCAGGATCGACGTTCCTTTGTATGTTTGCCCCATGGGATTTTGAGATTTTTTGAGCGAAGATCGCCGAGCTGACTTCCCCCTTGGATTGATCTCACGTTTGCCGGTTTCAAGCGATGTAAAGGTTCTTGCGTCCAGCATGTGGTTTGAAACTCACAACAAGGCAGAACAAGGCAGATATGACGGTATGACCGGTATGACATTAAAATACACGCAGATGATAGATATGGAGATGGATCAAAACCAATTATTTTGTATTTCCTGTTTGAGGCTGGATGAGGATCCATTTACCAACTATTTTTTGGTCATCAAGGTAGCAGCGTTATCCACACACCATGTCCGAACTAGTAACGCCCAACAAGAAGCAAAAAACATGTGCCATTTGGCAGATTTTTTCTTTTATATCTTTTATGGGGGTATACATATATAATGGTATGTATATAATTGTATATATATATATATGAAAACTCATATTTCATATATATATATGTATTATATATATATATATGTATACAATCTTTTCTGAACTCGTGGATGTAGACTCCATCCCTGCCGCTTGGCTGGTCCATCACAAGGCGAGCCGTCCTTCAAAAGTGGAGACCAGCTCTACCTTGCGATGCCTGATCGGGCAGCCGTGCTGGACACTGGGCTGTGACGGGACAGATTGGCGAAGTGACCAGGGGATAGCCTGGTAAGATTCAAGGTAACCCAGTTATAACTTGGTTTATAAGCCCCAGTAACTAGTTCGTTATAAGTACCATAAACCACAGTGAAATTGGAGTTATGTGAACCCCAACTGATTATTTGCACCAACTGAACGCTATCTAACGTGGGCCTCACATGGTAAGGTAACCTTGGTAACCCTGGTTGATTGATTCATTCAGAAATGGGATGATGGGGATGAACACCCAAAAATTGCTTCATACTTTGGGAAAAGGATACTGTGCTATCAAAATCTCTGTAGAGTAAATAGCTGGATAAGACATGATAAATATGCTTTGTTTCCAGGAGTCTTGGAACATAGTATAACATAGTCATCCCTCAAGCCAGTGACTCAAATATTTCCAGAGATGAATCCCATCCTCCCCCCCAAAAAAAGATGAGTGCTGATTCCTACACTCCCGGTAGATCCAGCATGGTTTCTGAGACATATTTAACCGATATGCATGATAGAAATTTCCAGGTTGGATCCCACTGATTTTTTTCGGAGACAGACATCATTAATATCAGTGGGAGAATCGAGATTATACATGATCGATCATTATCAATTATTGTTCACAATAATCATAGTAACTAATAGTAATATTAATATATATATATATACATATTATAATTGTCAACATCATCAATAGTTCATGATCTATGATCAATGTTATCATCAATTATATTATCCATAGTTGATCATCCTTATTATTTCCTACCTCCACGGACTGGTTTCTGGGGAGGGGATGGGCCAGGAACTGGCCACCTACGATCAGTTGCCGGAGTTTGCGGTGGAATTGGCACGGCTCCTGCAGGAGGGAGTCGATGAGAAAGGCCGGCTTCTTGGGCGCCTGGTGATGTGGTGAGTTGATTTGTGGTAAAATCTGAAAATGCCAACAGATTTAAAATCGTTTTGTTCATGCTAAAGTCCATAGTTTCCTGAAAACAACGTCTTTCAACCAATCCATTAAGTGACGATTCTGGTGACGATAAATGCTGGGACTCCGCGGATGCGGATGGTAAAGGAGACGAAGATCGCCCGGCCTTGTCCTGGTGTAACAAAGCTATGGACTGGATATGGTGATATTCTTAATGGGATGAGTAACTAACAGTTGTATTAATATGGCGATTAATGAGTAACTAATGGTGATTATTTGTGAGTAACTAACAATACGGCGAAAAAAAAAACAACACACTTCCCTGACACATCCTGACACCATCTTGGAGTGTATACCTTGCACACTGAGCAGATCTTAACCCATGTTTTTCTGGATATGCTGACTCGTAGAGTCTAGATTTTGATCTCAATGGGGAAAAATCATTTCGAACAGTTTCGAAAAAACCATTCTAGTTTTGACTCGTAAAGTCTAGTTTTCCTGGATAATGTCCTCAAAACCATTCGAAAGTTTCAGCCACAGCCTTGCTGTGCAGTCACAGCACAATGATTCAGTCCCGTCTGGATGGGGCTGGTCCACTCCCGAGGCTATTCCATGTGTTTGTTGATTCCAAGTTCCCCAAAAAGAGAGGAAGAACAAGATAGAAAAAACATAAACAACCAATAAGGACACGGAGCAAAAACATCGAACATTAGAAAAATACAGAAACACAGAAAAACAACACATAAAACAGATAGATATATATATATATACACGATATATACCCCCCTGGTTCGGATCCCAAGTTGTTGCTCGGAGTCCCGCGCCAGGCATCGTGGGGCCAGCGGAGATGGTGCAAGCGGCGAAGTTTCTGAACAGCATCAAGGACCTCAACGAAGCTGAGGAGGTGGAGTCAAGTCAAAGCTTGATGGATGTTGGATGGAATTTACGATGGAGAAGATATATATATATATTTATACACAATATATGTATATACAATATATATACATATATATATACATATATATATACACACAACATATATACAGTGTATATATATACTGTATATATATATATATATTTATATACACATTCGGGAAGATGATTCAAGATTATTGAAGAGTATGTACTGTTTGCATTCTATGGGCCGTGGAATAGCAGACTGCTCATTGGTTTCCACCAGACAGGCTGAACGTCGCTTGTATCGTTTCGAGAAGCGCTTTGGCAAAGAAAGACATGGGATGGATGGTGCAAGACTGGGGTCAAATGAACAGCTATCAGGATCTCATAGCTATAGGTGAGATATGTATACATATATATATAATATATATATATATACATAAGATAGAGATGAGAAGAGGTGAGACTAGATTAGATTAGATGATTAGATTAGATAGAGACTTATATTTGCTATATATATATACATATGTGTATGTTTATGTGTTTGGCATCAACTATCCAATTTTTAATAAGTACAATGCCCAACTAAAAGAACCTTTTTCGGGCACCACGGTCATGATGCCAGCCAGAACCAACCAGAGGATGCGGAAGAAAATTATACCCCTGCTGATGAGTCATTAGACATGGGGAGTTACTATAACCATCATTTATAGGGGTTTTGGTTGTTTTATGTTGTTTTATTTTGTTGTGTCTATCAAACATATGGGCATATCAGTGACATATCATTGATAAATGATGCTTGACTACATAGACTTTCTTGTAGAAATTTAGGCAGAGTGTCACGATGTTAACCTCAGCGGTTGTTTACTCTAGTGGCTTTTCAGTGTTCAAATCTCTGTATGCCCCCACCGGTTTGTTCCAAGTGTCGCTTCTCCCTTGCCATAGAGGGCGATTTGTGGTGCCTGGGCTGCGCTGGCTGGGAAGCCATTGGACGCGAGCTCGGAGGACATTGGGACATAGGTGGAGCCAAAGTTTTGGCCAACGACCTTGTGCTAAATTGCTCTAGGCAAGTGAGAGCTCTACGTTCCTTGGGGGCAGGTATCTCTACCGGGGGGGGCAGATCAGTTGAAGCTGGCCAAAGCCGTGCTTCTGTAGCACCTCCACCACCAGCTCCTGGCCGAGACCAAGGTGACAGGGACACCCGAACTAGGAGTGAACTTCCTCGACAACGTGCCACCTTTAACTTGCCTCGACCTCCTTCCCCACCTCGAAGGGCAAAAGAAGAGCAGGTGACAGAACCTTTGAGTGAAGAAGAGGAGGAGGAAGAAGAGGAGGACGAGGAAGGCGACGATCCTGAGGTGAGAGGTGCCGAACCTAAGAGGAAACCCCCAGGACCTGATCCTTCACCGCGGCGCGAGCGCCAGCACTCTTCAAGGCGATCACACCGTTCAGCTGGCCACAGCCGTGCTGAGCGAAGTCGATCACGAAGAAGAGACCGAACCAGAGGTTCTCACACACGTCAATCGAAGCCACGGAGGAGAACCAAAAGAGCTGGGAGGAAACATCAACGACTCAAACGCCTGGCAGAGGATCCTTTGTTGCGAGTCCATCGAAAAGCTGGACCAGGACTTTTGGAACTATTATCAGTGAGTCAAGGCCGCCACGCTCTGGAGCAATCCGTTTGAGCAATGGCAGACTTGGACGAGGATGGAGTCGAAGTGGATGTAACTCAGTTGCAGGCTTGGAGCGCCCTTTCACCCGCGCGCGGCCAGATTTTAGAGGTTGCGCTGGGGCAAAGCAATTTCCACGAGGCGCTGGCCGTTTGGGCCGCCTTTGTGATTGTACGAGTGTCCACCCTTTTAGATGGATCACTAGTTCTGGAATGCCGTTTCCTGGGGTCCGAAGATACTTCAGTGGATGGCCGTCTGGACACCGATTTCAACACAGAAGGGAATTCAATTCACCTTTGCTTGTCGCGGCCTTGTTTAGATATTTCAGAAGGCGAGCCGGACCTCGGGGACTTTTTGCATGCAACCAGAGTGCGTTTGTGGAGCGCGTCACGTTTTGTGGAGGTTTGCCCTTACCTTTCGGATGCTCAGAAAAAGAATGTGAACAAGTTTTTGAAGAGCTCTACAGAAAAACCAAAGGCTCCCAGGACTCCCCGTGCCAAAGCAGCTACCGCAAAAACTGCACCAAAAGAAAAGAAAGACAGGGGCAAGCCTGGAGAAACTGGAGGAAAAGCCGCCCCTCGCCGCAAGCCTGCCCTTCGCACTCCCAAAGAGACAGAACCTGGGGACCCAGATATCCGGGCATCCAAAGAGGAGCTGCGGCAGAAGTTGAAGGCTTTGCGGGTCAGACTTCAGGGCGATGGGAAGGAAGAAGATCAGGAGTATTCTCCGGGAACCTTGGTCGACGAGGAGCAGAAGGATGGGCTAGATGTAGAGAGCTCAGACCCTGTGCAGGCAGATGGCCTGACGACAGGAGCCAACTTGGATCCTCTTCCTCCAGAGCTGGCGAAAGCCGTTGCTCGGAAGGACAAACTCCGCCGCTCTCGACGTCATACAGGCGGGGAAGATGCGCTCGCCCTGGTGGATACAAAAGACACCACTTCGAAAAGCTTGAGCGGCCAACTGGTCCAGAAAGCTCTGGAAGTGACTCGTCAGAGGAAAGCAAAGAGCTCGTCCAAGAAGAAGAAGAAGGTGTCAGGGAAGACGGATATGGAGCGGCTTTCCAATGTCCTGGTCAAGGCATTGCAGAAAGCCAGTGGGGTAACCCCCAAGGAGACCGAGGCCACCAAGAAGAAGAAGAAGCGCAAACGCAGAATGTTGAGGGATGGAACGATAGTGACCTCAAGCGCCAGCTCAGGAGCTTCCTCGGGGGCGGAGACAGAAGAGCCCTCAAGCGACGAGGACCTGCAAGCACCGCTCAGAAAGAAATCCAGGGACCGCCCAGGAAGCGTTTTGCAGCTCCTGGTGGCCCACATCAGGGACCAGTTGGACCAAAGCGCCCTGACAGAGACCGGCCAGGCTTCAGCCGTGGTGACTGGGGGTGTGAAGGTCATGACCTACTTCAACATCCATGTCAAGGGCGCCTATCCTCAACACCTTCGAGAGTTGAGGGAGATGTTTCATTTGGCCTCATGCATAGATGCTATTCGATCTGGGGACGTAGCTCGCTGCGCAGACGGCTTAGCAGCGCGGTTCATAGCTCTACATCAGTCCTTAGTGGACGGAAATTGGGGAACAGCTCGTCACTTGGAGCTGCATGCTATGGAGGACGTGACCGCTGCCAGCCCGTCCGCCATTTTGGCGACGCGGCGACATGCGAAACTGGTTTCAAAAATGCAGGGCTACCCCTCCAGCTCCTGGGTTCTGGGAGCCGGCCGCGGCCGTGGAGGAAAGGGCAAGAACGAGTGGAGCTACGGCGACACCAGAGGCGAAGCAAAAGGAGAAGGCAAGACAAAGAACAAAGGAAAGAAGGGCAAAGGACGCTGGGACAATCGCCCCAACTGGGACACTCCCCGCAGCAAAGACTGGGAGAAGAACAAAGAGAAGCCAGAGGAGAAGCCCAAGTAGCAGAGGAAGCATCTCTGGTCAAGGCCGTTGAGATCGCTCCCCAAGCTCCTTTGGCTGACTTGGGTCAGATCCTACGTTTGTGTGACACACTGAGACGCACCGGGTGTGTCCTGGCGTGGGGCTTGATTCATGTGAGCTGTTTCACCAACGAGCTCCAGAATTCAGGCATCTATAGGCTAATGTTTGCCTCCAGCGTGCGGCAACGGGCCGGTCGGAAACGACTGGCTCTTCCCTTGCGCGAAGGCGAGTTGGCCGGGACTGTGAACACCTTGAAGGCTGTTTCTTTGTGCGAAGCCGCTGAGGATAGCTTTTGTACTCTTCATGCCGAAGCTTGCTGGACATACTTGGCTTGTTTTGCATGTAACTCCTTAGTGGATGTGCAGCGGCCTCTTGACTCAGGAGGCTGGATAAAGGCTGAGGAGCGGGCATGCGCAGCTGTCAGGCTGATGACGAGACGTCTGCTCAGCCATGGACGCCAAGAACCTGTGAGCTCAGAAGGCATAGAAAAAGATGTGAAGCTTGCACGGGTGAACTATTTGGGTGAAGAAGTAGGGAGTTGCCATAAGTTGACACTGCGGCAGATCGAGCCTGCTCTACCACCTAAAGAACATGGGGGATGTATTGATTTGATGGATTTTGTTTCACCGGTGACTGGAAATTTCTTAAGGAATCCTGAGCACTGTATCCTTGAAGACAGGGGCCAGCAATTGCCAAAACTTCAGGGAAAAATCCATGTTGCCGAGGGAGAACTTCCTGCCATCACGAGCGCACTGATTAGTTGCGGGGTTTGTGACTGGATTCCTTTTGATGATGTCCTTACTTATCGTGGGGAGCCTGTTCTAAACGGTCTTTTTGGGGTGCCCAAAACATCATGTTTGTCTTCGGGAGAGCCTATTCTTCGTGTTATAATGAACTTAGTACCTTCAAACTCAGTGATGCTTCAGCTTGAAGGGGCTGTTAAGAACTTGCCCAGTATTACTGCTTGGATGTCATTGGTGGCCGATGAGGGTGAAACTATCAGGATTTGGCAGTCAGATATGACCAACGCTTTCTATCTCTTTGCTTTACCTCCTCAGTGGAGACGCTGTTTAGCGTTTAACATCGTAGTAAATGGAAAACAGATTGACAGAGACCCTGCTAGGAAGTATGCTTTGTCCTGTTGCGTTTTACCCATGGGTTGGCTTTCTTCAGTTTCAGTTATGCAGGAAGTCAGTGAGCGTATCTTGTTGCGCAGCATGTTGCCTGCGGGAGAGCAAGTAGTTCGCAACCGCCCTCTGCCCTTATGGATGGTTGGTCTTTTAAAGGAAGCCCGAGAGCACCGTCGTATATGGTGGCATGTCTATTTGGATAACTATGCCGGAGGGCAGGTCTTGGGCGTTTCTGAAACTTCAGCTGCTGGTGATCAACTCCACCAACTAGCAGAGAAAGCTTGGAGAGAAGCACAGGTTGTTTCTTCAGAAAAGAAAAGGAAGCGAGCAGTTGAAGAAGCTGAAGAATTGGGAGCCCTAGTCAGCGGAGCCACAAACACCATTGGGGCGTCTCCTGAGCGGATCCTCAAAGTGATACAAGCTACTTTGTGGATTCTCTCTCAAAAGCATTTATCAAAGAAGCATGTGCAGGTGGTGGCAGGACGGTGGGTCCACATACTGCAATTTCGTCGGCCGGGTATGGCCTTCTTGGATTCTACATGGCAATTTATTAGCAGCAAGACTTTCAGCAGCCGTCTGGTAGAACAGGTAAAGAGAGAGCTCTGGAGTTTGGTGTGTGCAAGCCCCCTCTTACATACTGACCTGGGAGCAACAGTTTCTAATTTTGTGACTGCGTCGGATGCCTCAGGTTTTGGTGGAGCAGTAGGGATTTCAAAGCAGTTGACGTCTGTTGGGAGCGACTATGTAGCAGCAATGACATCTAGTGTTCGCTCCGTTGTCAGTATCCCGGTGTTGGTGATTTCCCTCTTTAATGGAGTAGGAGGGTGCTTCAGATGTTACGACATACTTGGGCTTGCACCTTTGGGACTTATTAGTTTTGATATACATGGGCCCGCCAACAGAGTTTCGAGCAGACGGTGGCCCCACTCGCTGCAGTACCATGATGTGAGGGAGATTGACGAAACCATGGTTCGAGGATGGCTTCTTAAGTTTGTCGGAATAACAGAAATCCATGTTTGGGCAGGCTTTCCATGTACGGACCTTACGGCACTGAAGTCAGGTCGAGAAGGATTAGCTGGTAGTCAGTCGAAGCTATTTTATGAAGTGCCTAGGGTTCTAGAAGTGCTCCGGAGCGCTGCAGGGGAGCTGATTGAGATCAAACTGGTGGGCGAGAATGTTGCCTCTATGGCAAAGAGCGAGTGCGTGGAAATTTCAGAGACTTTGGGACTTTGGCCATACCACTTGAACTGCTCTGACGCAGTGCCCTTGAACAGGCCTAGACTATGCTGGTGTAGCGAGTCCTTTGAGGGGGTTCTGGATGGGGTACTTTTTGAGCGTGAGGATTTTTGGACTAAGGTAACTGCTGAAAACCCTTATCCAGATCCAGCCACATGGATAGAGCCGGAAGTTGTTTGGACAGGCGCAGAGTCTGGCGATGTCTTACCAACATGTCTCCGGGCCATCATCCGGAGCCGACCACCACCGAGACCGGCAGGTCTGTCAAGGTGCGACGAAGACACTAAAGAGCGATGGAAGAGTGAGCATTTCAAATTCCCTCCATATCAATACTTGTCCCGTTTTCTCTTTTGGAAGGGTAACAAATGGAGACTCATTGACAGTACAGAACGAGAGCTGCTCTTAGGGTATGGTTGGATGCACACACATCTTTGCATGAGCGCGAGTCAGATTAAGAAGTCTGCTGCAGCCTTTGAAAACGAACGACTTTCTCTGCTAGGAGACAGCTTTAGTATTTATTCTTTTGTTATTCCGGCAGCCGCCCTATGCAAGCATTTCTTGCCTCGGATGAGCTATGCTCATTTGTGCGATCGCATGGGTCTGGCGCCTGGTTTTGCAGCTCCATGGAGGATTAAGATCTCTTTGGCTAGAAAACTGCAGTATGGGTTTGATGGTTCAAATTTATTGATGTCACCACAACTGCTGAATAAAATCTTACTCGCTAGAGTAAATCACACGGGGTCTGACATCCGTATAACTACTGGCGAAATCCTCAACCCAAAAGCCTTCCCTAGGCAGGCGGTTGAAGCTGAATGGTGGGACTGGGAGCATGTCTTCAAGTTTAGATGGGCTCACAAAGAGCATATAAATCGGTTGGAACTACGAGCAATACACCAAGCTGTTATGTATACTATTTCTCATTTTCAGGTCACGCGTTTGCGTTTGTTTCATTTGACTGACTCGTATGTTTGCCTTTCATTGATAAGCAAGGGTCGCAGTGGCAGCCGTTTCCTGAACAAGTTGCTCAAGGTATTGAACGCAAACCTTTTAGCCCATGGCATCACACTGATTCTGGGACATGTAGAGTCCACACAGAATCCAACCGACCATGCGAGCCGGTCGGCCTAAGTTCTTGACTAGACGAACCCGCGCTGAAAGACAGAAACAAAGAAAGGACATAATACTAGCAGATGCAGCTATTTCAGTTCGAACACAAGAGAGGTACTATGATGCTATGAGAAAACTTTTGCCTACACTGGAAAAGGTCAAAGGACCGCCTCAGCTGGATGACGCAGTAAGCGACTGGGTTGAAAAACAATGGAGAGAGGGTCAAACAATTCATGTTGTTTCAGACGCATTGTGTGGCCTTCACCACTTTGAGCCCTATACCAAGAAGTTGATCCCATCAGCATGGAAATTGTTTCGCACTTGGCGAAAATTGGAGGCCCCCAATAGGGCCCCTCCACTTACAAAATACATAATATATTCGTTGGCTCACTATGCGATGATGCATAATGATTTAGTTTTTGGAACTTTGCTTTTAATGGGATTTTTCGGGTTACTCCGCACTGGAGAGTTGTTGCTGGCAAAGCCGTGCAACATCCTTGTTGCAAAGGAACGGGTAATCCTTTCACTGGAAAGCACGAAATCTGGGAAGCGTAATGCTGCTTCCGAGACCGTTTCTTTTGATGATCCCTTCGCAGTGATTGCCATTGATCAGCTGTTACAGTTACGAGAACACCAACGCTTGCAGCATGTCCCTTGTTGGCTTCACTCTGCACAGAACTTTAGGAATAAGTTCAGCTTTTATTTAAAGAAATTTGATCTCCAAGGCCACTGTTTCAGACCTTACAGCCTCCGAAGAGGAGGCGCGACTCACCTTTTTCAAACCACTGGCAGTATGGAATTGGCCTTGCTTAAAGGCAGGTGGGGATCGGCCCAAGTGGCCAAAATATATTTACAGGACGGCCTTAGCTTCCTGCCGATGTTAACTTTTTCTCCACGTGCCAGGGAAAAACTGCAAGAGTGGAGGCCTTTTCAACACTACAGTGTCAAGTAAAGGGGTCGTGGAATGGCTTTTTGAACCTTATTTGAACCTTCCTTCCATGGAAGTAAATGTTGTTTCTTTTTGCGGAGTTCCTGCCATGGAACTGAAGTCAACTCTCTACCATGAGAGAAGCAAGACAATGTGTGTTTAAATCTGTTCGCAGCCTGAAGGGCGCGACAAAGCGAAGAGTTCGCAGCCTGAAGGGCGCGACAAAGCGAAGAGAAGGGAACTGTGATTACTTCTCACAGTTCATAAAACCTTACAGTCACACGCTGGAGGTGGAAAACAAGAGTGCACCGATGCCTAGACTTTCTTGTAGAAATTTAGGCAGAGTGTCACGATGTTAACCTCAGCGGTTGTTTACTCTAGTGGCTTTTCAGTGCCCGGCCACTCCCACCACATTGGAATGGCTTTTTGAACCTTGTTTGAACCTTCCTTCCATGGAAGTAAATGTTGTTTCTTTTTGCGGAGTTCCTGCCATGGAACTGAAGTCAACTCTCTACCATGAGAGAAGCAAGACAATGTGTGTTTAAATCTGTTCGCAGCCTGAAGGGCGCGACAAAGCGAAGAGTTCGCAGCCTGAAGGGCGCGACAAAGCGAAGAGAAGGGAACTGTGATTACTTCTCACAGTTCATAAAACCTTACAGTCACACGCTGGAGGTGGAAAACAAGAGTGCACCGATGCCTAAAGTTATGATACGAGGCTATACCAACTGGTTTGATGATGACAATTGTAATGTAACCCCTAATTTATAGGGATATATATATATATATATATCTATATCTATATCTCTATTGAATTAACCAACCAGACAGGCCACGTCATGCCATTTTTCCATGGGGAAATCGCAAGCGGGGATCCCATGGCGGACAGGACATCCCACCAGAAATTTGTCTCCCAGCAACAGCGAATTCTCATGGATTCACCATATTAGAAAACCTGTAGTGAAAGTGATGAAGATATTCTAATATAGTCTCATAGTGGATGTTATATATATTACTATATATATATATATTACTATGTTATATATATATATATATATATATTACACATCCAAAAAATAGCCATGAAAAGAAAACACCGAGCCGCTCCAACTAACACAGCCTGTGGAGCCAAGAAATCATGAGGTCGCCCCTGTCGCGACGCCTCTACGACGAGTTGCAGTCGGATCCCGTGTGGGCCGAGTTCTGGACGGCGATTACTCCCAGGATTCCGGAGATTTACAAGGCCGCCAACGGGTTTACCAACTGATGGTGAATTTCAATGATGTTTAATGGGGAAAATGAATGAAAATGAGGATGAATCATGATAATCATGAGATCTTACTGCTGTTCTACGTTTTTCGTTTTTCAAAGAACGGAGATCCTTGAGACATGTTTCCATGGGACGCGGCTCGCTGCGCTGCTAGCCATGCTTCAGGCCTTCCGTCAAGCCATGCTTCGCAGTCGGCCGGCGCAAAGGATGGAGCCCAGGAGCCCTTCCGTTGTTTTTGGTCATCATTAACCATCCATTAACGCATCATGAACCATCATTAACCATCATTAACCCATCATGAACCTATCATTAACCATCATTACCATCATTACCATCATTAACATCATTAACCATCATTGAACCATCATGAAACCATCATGAACCATCATGAACGCATTCACCATCTACATCCTGAACCTCATTAACCATCATTAACCATCATTAACCATCATTAACCATCATTAACCATCATTAACCATCATTAACCATCATTAACCATCATTAACCATCATAAACCATCATAAACCATCATTAACCATCATTAACCATCATTAACCATCATTAACCATCATTAACCATCATTAACCATCATTAACCATCATTAACCATCATTAACCATCAATTAACCATCATTAACCATCATTAACCATCATTAACCATCATTAACCATCATTAACCATCATTAACCATCATTAACCATAATTAACCATCATTAACCATCATTAACCATCATTAACCATCATAAACCATCATTCACCATCATTAACCTCATTAACCATCATCAACCATCATTAACCATCATTAGCCATCATTAACCATCATTAACCATCTTTAACCATCATTGACCATCATTAACCATCATTAACCATCATTAACCATCATTAACCATCATTAACCATCATTAACCATCATTAACCATCATTAACCATCATTAACCATCATTAACCATCATTAACCATCATTAACCATCATTAACCATCAGTAACCATCATTAACCATCATTAACCATCATTAACCATCATTAACCATCATTAACCATCATTAACCATCATTAACCATCATTAACCATCATTAACCATAATTAACCATCATTAACCATCATTAACCATCATTAACCATCATAAACCATCATTCACCATCATTAACCTCATTAACCATCATCAACCATCATTAACCATCATTAGCCATCATTAACCATCATTAACCATCTTTAACCATCATTGACCATCATTAACCATCATTAACCATCATTAACCATCATTAACCATCATTAACCATCATGAACCATCATGAACCATCATGAACCATCATTAACCATCATGAACCATCATTAACCATCATGAACCATCATGAACCATCATGAACCATCATGAACCATCATGAACCATCATGAACCATCATGAACCATCATTAACCATCATTAACCATCATTAACCATCATTAACCATCATTAACCATCATTAACCATCATTAACCATCATTAACCATCAACAATGGGGATTTACAGTGGATTTTCATGGGAATGGTGGAAAATTGAAGGATTTCTCGAGTCTTGTCAACAATCATCACTAGTTTTTGCAGACTGTTGTAATATATGAATGTGTCCCAGCATATTATTAATGGACCAGCAATTATAGTGAGTTGGTGGATACATGAGTGTCCCAGGAGATTATATAGCATTATTAGTGAAAGTGATGAAGATATTCTAATATAGTATCATAGTGGATGTTATATTTTACTATGTTATGTATATATATATATATGTATATTACACATCATATTATATATATGATATATACATACATTGTATATATATATATATCATACACACACATATGTATATATGTATAACATTATACACATATATTATATACCTATATATATATACACACTGCATGTTATGTTGATATTCTCATAGTGATATGAGTCCACCTCAAAACGGTCGTTCCAAAAAGTGCCTGTTAAGACGCGGCAGGCGCGTGTCTGTGCTGCGCATCAATGTCTTGGGAGTGCCCTGGCGTGCCGTTGGTTCTGGGGGTCGCAGATGTCGTTTTTTTGGATATTCATTGGTAAATGTTACCATATATAGCATACATGGATCCGATGGGTTATCTACAAATATCTAGAACTAGCTAGAACGTATTAGACGGATGTTCCAAAAGACATCTAGAAATATCTAGAACTAGATATTCAATGATATTCACCAACAAAAATTACCTCCCAATTGACTAACGCATCCCATGTCACTCCTTTGGGGTGTCTTGTCACCTCATGCTGTCCCACTACCACCGAGGTGTTGGGTCTTCTGGTTCCTTGGCTGAAAAAAAAGGGGGCCCGAAACCAGCACGGTCGCGCCTAGTGAAACCTGTGACTGAAGTGGATTCGAGAAACCATCTCTAAATGGATCTAAATGGCAATTTTCATAGGTATCGGTGCAGCTGAAACTAGATGTTTATAATCATGCAATCTGTGTTTTCAAGGTGTCCACTTTAGGCGTTATTTACATGACAGAGTTATACATGATGGCAAAACTAAAGACCGCAAGAAAGGGATAGATAATCGTCTCAAGTACAGGTAATATAGACTCTGCTACTACTCAAAAATTGGGATTTACTACCACCCCTCTATCCTTCTTGAACAAATAATGTTTCTTGGATTTTCCAAACTTGGAGTACTCCCCTCTCCTCATAATTTGAGGTAATTACCGATAATAATTACCCCTACAACAAAGTGGTTTAATGCTAGATTCATGTTGGGGTCCATGAAGCTTAAACAGTTTTGGGAGCTGGGACAGAATAGTCTCATAGTCTCATTATATCCATGTATATCTATAGTATATTGCATTATCTCCTGCATTTTTCCGGCTTATCACACCCAATTTCCGCATTCATGGCTTCAATGACCTATTCTTCCCCCAATTTTTGTCGATTCTATTCAATTTTCGGAATTCAGAATATCATTACCATATCACCATAGTCATTTTTTTTGGGTTGTTTATATTCCAAGGGAAGGGATTCACCATATAAAGTGGCGAGGCCATCGTTGGCGCCGTCGCTTGGGCTGCCTGGCAATTCTTCCATCCATCAGTGACGGAGGAGGTGGGGAAAAGCGAATCGGGGCGGTTGCGCCTTCAGGAAACACACCGGAGGTTGCAACTGCAGAGGGCTTCAACTCCATTATGCATCATGTATTGTATACATATATAATATATAATATATATAATATAATATATATATAATATAATAATATATATATATATAATATAAATAATATATATATATATATATAATAGATCTAAATAATATATGTATACACATACATGCACATACATAATGACATGTATTTTTTTGGTAAACTCTGGACTGTCTGTATTTGTTGCAGTTTTTGGATTCCCATCCTTCGCCACTGCCGTGTCCAGCTGCCGCGTCCAGGCACAAAATTTGCCCCTCTACAGCCTGAGAGGTGAAGCCAAATGAGGTGACGGAAGTCTGTCAAATCTTATAATGTGGGTAAAACAATGCCATAAACCACCCATTTTCCTGGGAATGGTTGAAACCACCTATCAAAATTGTGATGACTGGGGGATGGTTTATGATTGTTTTAACTGCATTAGTGGGATTTAAATGGATTCAATGGATGATTTAAGGTGTCTTGAAGCATGATCAACAGGGATTAATAGGGTGTATGAATATAGGATTTAATGGATGTCATGGCTATGGCATGGAACTTCCAATGGGATACTGATGGGAAAAAATGGTTAAAGGGGTATGCTGGGACATCCCAGCATTCACTGTTGGCTGTTATTGTTTTCTTGTTGATCTTCAAAGTTGATTTTTTACCTTACCTGTGATGTTCTATTTGATGGAGATTTTGGATTTTTGTTCCCCGAAGTTTCAATGTCGAAGTTTGGATTGGATAAGCGGGGCCTTTTATTTTGAGGTGAATGTTTGGTGGAACTGTGAATGTGTCCAACTAAGAGCCCCATCTCCGGCAACAGGACACGTGCTGCCGTTTGTTGTGTTGGAAAAGATGCTGGGTTTAGGGTGGTAGCCTCTGGTAAACTAACATAACTATGGAAAATCACCATTTTTAATGGGAAAACTCACTATAAATGGCCATTTTCAATAGCAAACTGTTAAATTACCAGAGGGTAGCTACTTCGTTCCAGCTCAATATCTGGATGGTTCGATGGGTGGAATACATGGAACGATTGGTGGAACTACTTCGATAGCTGGGTTTGTCTGAAAATAGAGAAAACCCCTAAACCCAATGGTTAATGATCATTATCCCTACTAAATGGCTATAATTGGGAATATACCCCATTTTCATCATGGCATCATGCGTATATTTTTCACAAATCATACTTTTTGCTGGGAAAATATGTATGTTTACAGCACATTCGTACTAGATTCTGCTAGTCTGCTTCATGAATATATGGGGGTCGGAGTGACCGACAAGGTGATCGGTGATAGCCAATGGTCACTTTCTCTGCTGTAGCTGATATACCCAGTGAACATGTCGATATCGGTATGTCTCAAACTTGATTCATCCAAGATAGAAATCCCCGGATTTCTGGTGTCTTTGCCTTTTAGCAACAACTCTATATAAAAAAAACAACAACAGAACATGGTAGCATCACTTTCTAGCCCAGGAGGGACACATTGTTGAGTACGAATGCACTTTATCAAACCAACCAATGGCTACCTGGCCATAGCTGGCCATTGATTCCAGACCTCCAGAGCAGCAACAGAACCGTCGGGCCACCTTTTTTTGCTGGTCAACTTTTTTGTGCCATCTTGGAGTGTCCTAGGAAAATGTGGTGCAGGCTGTGCACTTTGGCAATCTATCCTGAAAAAGCGAAACTCAATGAAGATCCTTTTTTGCATTCATTGATGGCTGATTTTTGTTGATAAACTTGGCCATGTGGCCATGTTTGACTGTGATAGGGTAGTCGGAAAACATCTCTACAGGACCAGGAGCGATTCACCCGGGGCAAGGTCCATGGCGCGATACCTGGTGCTCTGCTTCAAGCTGTAGGATAGGATATTTGTTGGTGCCAAAACAGATGCCAAATGATTCCAGGAGATCATATCATGAGATGATGTCAGATTCCCCAGCTTGGAATTTCTGCATGTGTGCATTCTGTTTGCGTCAGATTACTGTATGCTATTTTGTTTCTTGGCAGGCGGATTTGCACATGGTTTCTGAACAAACAACTCCATAAATTGTTAAAATGCCTCCTGGGCAAGTAAAACCATGTGACGCAAAAAAGCTTGCGAGCAGCTGTGCAACCGCTTCCGTCAACCCATTATCACAAGCACAAATACACACACATGGATACATATGGAATTTTGGATGCCTCCAGTTGACAGTTAGTCCTTTTGAAGCGCACCCGTACAGTGCTTAGTTGCGCCGCACCGCGTCCATGGAAGAATGGCGACGGCAATTTCCATTGCGGGCGCACGGCTGTCGCTTGCTCAATCAATTTGGCCAGTGACTTGGAGGGCATTTCAACTTGACAGCGGAAAGGACAAGCCGTTAATGAGTGATTAACATTGATGTTGACATTATTAATGATGGTTGATTCCCATTTACTAACATTAACCTACATTAACATTCATTGATTAACAAGTCGTTGATTCCCACTTATTGACATTCATTAGCATTGCATCACATTGGTCCCATGGTGAATCCGCTTGTCTCTTTTGCAGATCTCCGAACTTATGAGCTCGGGCTGGGTTGAAACACGAACTTGTAGATTCTGGCTGGTGGTTTGGAACATGGCTTTTATGACTTTCCATTCAGTTGGGAAGTTCATAACCCCAAGTGTTACTCACTCCATCATTTTTCAGAGGGGTAGGTATACAAACCACCAACCAGGATTGGCTCATGGTTCCACGGTGCTGAGGCATTTTAAGTTGGCGGGCGTCAACTGGTATGGAGCCTCCGACTCCTTCCATGTCGTGACTGGGCCTGGATCCATTGGCGCCAACTGTGAGCCCAAGCCATCCATAGAATTCTGGCACGGTCCCCCTACAGGATCAAAAGGTGCAACAAATGCACCACGTTATCATGTTCAGAATGAATATATTGAATACAGCTTAGAAAGCTTAGACAGTGAATTTAGGGCAGCCTTCATTGTCTGGGTTATCAATTGGACAGTGACAGTGTCCCAAAAGTGCGGAAACCATCAAAACAGCAAAACCAAGATGGAATCTCGAACTCGTGACATCTTTTGACAACTGCCCCAACTATCCCCAACTCAGAACTGGATTAAGCAAAAAAAATACTTTGGACATCTTTAGACATCGTTTTGAGATGTTTTGAGTGGTTTACCTCCAGTTTTGCCCATCCTTTTCAGTGGGGTTTCCTCCAGCTAAACCTCCGATTTGGGAGGTCGGTGGGCTTGATGCCCGTCCTTTATCGGCAGCTGGGCTGTAAACTTGTCCAGCTCTCGAGCGACCGGTCGAAGACATTGGTTTAAGATGGTTTAAGGGATTGGAAAATGGGAATCGTTCCTGGAAATCTTCATAATTATGCAGCTATTTTGATCTATTTTGGCTGGACCAGAGTTTCACAGTTCGACACTTGCGCTTGAACCTTTTTTTTGATGTTTGATAAAGTGAAAGTGGATTCCTCAAGTAATCTATTTTTTAGCAACAGCACATCACCTACTGTATTTGTGGATGATTTACCCACATGGTCATTTAGACTCTACATGGCCAGAATTGATCAGCCGGGATAGCTGTGAAGGTGCCAAGGTAGGTTCACTGCTGCGGAACTGAAAATGGATCCCTCCGTGCCACTAAGCATGTGTGATGAAGCCTATATGAATTGAAAGACGCAATCGTGAAACTGTAAAAGCTGCTTGAAATGCTGAGAAAGAGATAGATAGAGATAGACATGCTCGGGGGTCCATGGGGGTCCTAAGCTGCTCACAATCCCTCAAAATCATCCAGTGTGCCTCAAAACCAATATGATTCCGATAGGTCCATCACAAAAGCACCAAGCCTTCAAGATCTTTCAAGTATTTCTTGGAAGTTTACCATATTTTACCCCATGCTTGTGCATAGATGTTTGTTCCAAAAAAGGCAACCCCCAAAAACACCCAACCCACCACCGGCATGTCCCGGCCCAAGGAGCTGTGCCACGCCGTAGCCGCCATGGGCTTCACCGTGGTGCGCCTGCCCTTTTCCTCGGAGATGCTCAGGGTCGAGCGGGTGCCGCCAGGTGGGGCTGGCCTGTTGTGGGATGCTCCTAGGAGGTTCTTGTACCAAGATCTTCTAAGATCCTCATAAATCCTCTAGAAGATGCTTCATGATGCTTCGAAGATCTTGTGAGAGTCGTTTTTGAAGCATTGTTTGGGGAGTCTCTTCCCAAGCTACAGCTTGTTTTTGTTATTACCTGTCGATGGTGGATGTCCGTTGCCATGATTCAATGATTGCTTGCCAGAGGTGAGATGTTGGATAAGTTTTATTGTTGTTGAAGATTATGTTTGATCTACCAACAATAAAACTTTGATATTGATGTTGGATAAGGTTATCTCCTGATATTGTTTAATCTATTTCGGTGTTGTTTTTTCCCACCAGGAGATTTAAGGAGTGGAAACTACGGATGGCATTTGATGGCCATTTCCCTGTGTAAGGAACTGTCTTCAAACTTCTAGGGATAGACAGCAAGGTGTTTTCTTTCTGGGATCCATGTTCATATTCATGTGCCCAGGCTCGTGATTTTGGGTCAGACCCCCACAGCATATAAGCCCTACCTTCCCATAAGCTCCGATAAGCAAACATGGCAATGGAAAATCTCCCTGTCAGGATCTGTCACTGGTTTGTGGTTTGGAACATTTTTTATTTTTCCATATGTTGGGAAGTTCATAACCCCAACTGACGAACTCATATTTTTCAGAGGGGTAGGTATACAAACCACCAACCAGGTCATATCCTCAGCATGGCAGGTGCCATCGACTATGTTCAGAACAAAGATTTGGAAGGACTGTCACCTTTGCAGGCCCCAATTGCAGCAGTTTGCAGAAAATTTATGTAGCCACAGAACTCTGCGCATTTCAAGATATATCATGATATATCCTAGAAGAACCTTTGGGCACTTTTTTCTGTCCTCGGCGCCTAGGCAGCCGCATTCACCCGGAAGTTTGCAAAACTCGGCAGATTTATATTGATGTATAGGCATTTTTATCTCAAGATGTTTTTTGTGCTCCGACTCCGACATCATTTTTACCCGGAAGTTAGGCGGAAAAACCTGGAATCTAGGCGGAAAAAAGAGGAATTTGGCAAAATTTTGTTCGAAACATTTTTCTGCACTGAACAACATGACAAGACCATACAAACATTTATCAGCCTCGGCATTTTTTCGGGCCTATAGGCATTTATTCTGGGAATCGGCAGAAATAAACGCCTACAGGCAGGTTAGGCATTTAATTTCTGCCTAGAGGAGTTTGTAGGTATTTAAAGGCTTTGCATTTACTTATTGTGCACTAATGACTAGTGTTGTCCTGTGCAATTTTGTGCATTTTACTTGTCAAGAGATCCCGAAACCAGAACCATCAAAAAAGACACCGCTACATTGCACATGCAAGCATATACGGGCCATCACACAAACCCTGACCCTCAGATTGGGGTGCCCAACTCGAACACCACATTGAATGCTGCTAAGCCTTCGGTTTGTCAGGGACTATCCGATTAGATGAAATGCTTGTAGTATGCCCAATGAATGGCTATGGTTCGACATGGTACAAAGTGGATCAAAGTGGGTGATCCTGATATGTAATACTCGTAGTATAGTCATTCGAGATTGGAGATTGGGATAGATTGGGTAGGTTCTACCTGCATTTGTGGTACGTACTTCATACATACAACTCTTTACTTGACCTCGGTTGTCTGTTGGTAGCCCTTCAGAGGAACGGACAAAAAGTGAGATCACGTTCAAACCAGTATGGGTTGGCCCATTGTGAATGGCTAGGCTCCCATTGCCCATCTAGTGCACTTTTCAGATGTGAGTCAAATCCATGGTACTTGGTTGAACTCTAAAATAGCTGGCGAATCGATATTATTGTTCCTTTTTGTGCCCCCAGATACAGGAAAGTATAGGGTTTGATGAATTCCATTAATCCCCATCGAAAAAATACACTCAGTTAAACAAACATAGACCTCGAAACTGAGAAAATCAACTTTGAGGTCTTATGTTTATTTTCCAAAAACGACTGTTGCAAGAGCAAAAAACAGAACAATTTCCCTCACTAACATAGACTTTGGACATAGAGCAAAAAAACAGAACAATTTGCCCTCTATGTCCAAGGTCTATGTTAGTGCGCGAAAGTGTTATTGTTTTACACCTGTATGATTTACCTGAATACATAGGCCTCAGAATCACTCTGCTTCCAAGGTCTATGTTATGGCCCGAAACAATCTTAGTGAGCGAAAGTGTTTTTTTATGTTTTTTTGATCTTGCAACTGTTGTTTTTTTACAAATAAACGTAGACCTCGGTTTGTAATTGTTCCTCACCGGGGTTTTTGTTTATTTAGCATGATGAGGGGGTGGTATGCTAATTAATTACTGTAGAATATATAATTTTTAATTCAGGTAAATTGTACACTTGCAAATATCATTGTTTCTTTTCACAAATCTCTATTCAAAAAGGCTCTTCTGAGTTATTTTTTGGGCCAACAAAGGGGGTGCCCCAGAATGATTTCATTTTTGTGCCCTTTCCAAGGTTTTCCCCATTTCCAATATTCTTGCAAGACTTTAAAGATGTTAACGGCCCCTAACATGGACCCTCAAACCCTCAAAACACAGGTCTTCTGTTCCTTACCCAAAAAGAGTAGAAACTGACGATGCACAAACAACAAGAAGGCCTCCCATGGTTCACCTAGACCCTGATGGTTAGGGGGTGGTGTATCTTTGGCCCAATTATGGAAGCGGTTTCCAAACATTCTACACAAGTCCCCAAAGCAGATCATACCCATGTTTGATTAGAGTGGTTCCCTATGGTTTTATGGTTTACCTAGACCTGGGTGCTAGATATATGGTCTATCTTCAACCACAACAAAGGATGGTACCATCCAAGTCCCCCTTGCAGATTTCAAACAAAAATATCATTTTTTCTTTTCACAAGTCTCTATTCAAAAAGGCTCTTCTGAGTCATTTTTTGGGCCAACAAAGGGGGTACCCCCAGAATGATTGCATTTTTGTGCCCTTTCCAAGGTTTTCCCCAGGTCCAATATTCTTGCAAGACTTTAAAGATGTTAACGGCCCCTAACATGGACCCTCAAACCATCAAAACACAGGTCTTGTATTCCTTAACAAAAAAAAGTAGAAACTAACGATGCACAAACAACAAGAAGGCCTCCCATGGTTCACCTAGACCCTGATGGTTAGGGGGTGGTGTATCTTTGGCCCAGTTATGGAAGCGGTTTCCAAACATTCCACAAAAGTCCCCAAAGCAGATCATACCCATGTTTGGTTAGAGTTGTTCCCTATGGTTTTATGGTTTAGCTAGACCCGGGTGCTAGATGCTTGGTCTATCTTCAACCACAACAAAGGATGGTACCATCCAAGTCCCCCTTACAGATTTCAAACCAAAATGTCATTTTTTTCTTTTCACAAGTCTCTATTCAAAAAGGCTCTTCTGAGTCATTTTTTGGGCCAACACAGGGGGTACCCCAGAATGATTTCATTTTTGTGCCCCCTTCCAAGCTTTTCCCCAGGTCCAATATTCTTGCAAGACTTTAAAGATGTTAACGGCCCCTAACATGGACCCTCAAACCCTCAAAACACAGGTCTTCTGTTCCTTACCCAAAAATAGTAGAAACTGACGATGCACAAACAACAAGAAGGCCTCCCATGGTTCACCTAGACCCTGATGGTTAGGGGGTGGTGTATCTTTGGCCCAATTATGGAAGCGGTTTCCAAACATTCTACACAAGTCCCCAAAGCAGATCATACCCATGTTTGATTAGAGTGGTTCCCTATGGTTTTATGGTTTACCTAGACCCGGGTGCTAGATACATGGTCTATCTTCAACCACAACAAAGGATGGTACCATCCAAGTCCCCCTTGCAGATTTCAAACAAAAATGTCATTTTTTCTTTTCACAAGTCTCTATTCAAAAAGGCTCTTCTGAGTCATTTTTTGGGCCAACAAAGGGGGTGGGTGCCCCAGAATGATTTCCTTTTTGTGCCCTTTCCAAGGTTTTCCCCAGGTCCAATATTCTTGCAAGACTTTAAAGATGTTAACGGCCCCTAACATGGACCCTCCAACCCTCAAAACACAGGTCTTGTATTCCTTAACCAAAAAAAAGTAGAACCTAACGATGCACAAACAACAAGAAGGCTCACCTAGACCCTGATGGTAGGGGTGGTGTAGCTTTGGCATGCGTTGACCAAGTTTTGGAGGCGGTTTCCAAACATTCTACACAAGTCCCCAAAGCAGATCATACCCATGTTTGATTAGAGTGGTTCCCTATGGTTTTATGGTTTACCTAGACCCGGGTGCTAGATACATGGTCTATCTTCAACCACAACAAAGGATGGTACCATCCAAGTCCCCCTTGCAGATTTCAAACAAAAATATCATTTTTTTCTTTTCACAAGTCTCTATTCAAAAAGGCTCTTCTGAGTCATTTTTTGGGCCAACAAAGGGGGTGCCCCAGAATGATTTCATTTTTGTGCCCCTTTCCAAGGTTTTCCCCAGGTCCAATATTCTTGCAAGACTTTAAAGATGTTAACGGCCCCTAACATGGACCCTCAAACCCTCAAAACACAGGTCTTCTGTTCCTTACCCAAAAATAGTAGAAACTGACGATGCACAAACAACAAGAAGGCCTCCCATGGTTCACCTAGACCCTGATGGTTAGGACTATGTGTTGCTCGTTTTTCGTTTTGTCCATTGTATCCCCAGGGTCTATGTGATCCCCATAGTTGGACTTTCAGGAAGCCATTCTGAAAGATATATCCCAACAAAAAACATATAGACTCCGACATGCTGTTTTGGCAAGATGGATCATTTCTTGGACTAGAAACTCAAATAGATCCTTATACCATTTCAGGGTATATGTTAGCCCTACTTGCAATGCTACTGCAGGAGTTGAGAAAAACATGTTAGCGGGGTCGGCGGAAAGTAAAACAAAAATTAATTTGTGGGGTCATGTTATTATGCCAGTTGTCCATTGTTGGCCATTGTTGTCCATTGTATCCCCAGGGTCTATGTTATCCCCATTGTTGGGTTTTGCAGGCACGCAACTCTTTATTACAAGAAAACATATACCCTGATACCAGTCCAGGGGTAGATGTTAACCCTAGTTGCAATGCTACTGCAATGGTATTATATTTTTTTGTAAAGGTCCATGTTAGTGAGCAAAACATGGTGAAATTGGCATGCAACATGTAGGGTCTATGTTATTATGCCTGTTGTCCATTGTTGGCCATTGTTGTCCATTGTATCCCCAGGGTCTATGTTATCCCCATTGTTGAGTTTTGCAGGCACCCAAATCTTTATTACAAGAAACCATAGGCCCTGATACCAGTCCAGGGTCTGTGTTATCCCTACTTGCAATGCTACTGCACAGGTATTATAAGTTTTTGTTAAGGTCCATGTTAGTGAGTAAAACAAAACAAGGTTAGAATTTCATGCAACATGTGGGGTCTAGGTTATGCCAGTTGTCCATCGTTGCCCATTGTGTCCCCAGGGTCTATGTGATCCCCATTTTTGGGTTTGCAGGCACCCATCTTTTTTAACAAGAAAACATAGACCCTGAAATGGTGTGTTGGGAATTTCTTGAACTGGGAGTAATAAGCCTCTCAAATAGATCCTTATACCATTCCAGGGTCTGTGCTATCCCTACTTGCAATGCTACTGCAGGGGTATGTTGAGTTTTTGTAAAAACCCATCTTAGTGGGGTAAAACATGGTGAATTTAGAATGCAACTTGTGGGGTCTATGTTATGACAATTTTCCATTGTTGTCATTGTGTCCCCAGGGTCTATGTGATCCACATTTTTGGACTTGCAGCTTGTTTTTTTAATGTTTTTACAAGATAAGATAGACCCCGGATCAGCGGACATGCTCACCAGGGTCTACGTTTAAATGTATGATATATGCATACAGGGTCTATGTTTGTTTAAGGTAGAGTATATTAGCAACTATATAATTTATCCCCATTGGATTAGTTTATCCATTATTTGCTTAATTAAATTAGCAAAGATACGGTGGATGGGCCAGCGAAATCCTGCACTAGTTGAAAACGGTGGATTTCATATCCCATTATTTATAGGGTTTCAAGCATCCGTTTGGTGATGCAGGATTTCGCAACCATCCACACAAGGTGGTGCCCCCAAGATAGCTAAGTTGGTTTATAACTCCAATAACTATGGTTTATGGGTGATATATCTATAGTTAATGGGCTTATAAACCAACTTATAACTGGGGGGCACCACCTTGCAGTATCAAATCCCATGGAAATTCCCCATGTTTCGCTGCTGATCTCCACCCTACAGGTCTACGATCGCGTGATCGAAGAATTGGGAGCTGCAGGGGTCACAGTGGCTGGGCGAATGGTTTTTAGGAGATTCCAGCATCCCCAAGGTTGCTGTAGGTTGTATGAACCATTATAACCATTATAAATGTGTATTAACCATTATAATTAACCATTATACATGGGTTGTATTAACCATGAAATGAAGTACTTTTTTTGGTGATTTATTGTTACTTTTCTAACACTACAGTCATTTGGTTAGTGAACTGATATAATTCAGCCAGAGTCCCCGAAAAGATGTCGAAAAATGGGACACCTGGAACTATAGAGTACATCAGAATCTGCTAGTTCTCATCCTGGAAACACTTTTCAGCATCTTGTTAGGGGTTGCTCATGAATCTTGTTGGTTAACTGGTTAATTGTTTAACTCATGGGGTTTCTCACATGTGTATTGCCTTGTTGGGGGATGGACCGGTATAATATAGTGACTGATTTGAATCTGAAAATAGGGCAACCCTCATGACGGTCTTCAGTTTTCCCACTAAGATTGCCATGTTGGGGTATACCCTTTTGCCCGCTATACCCCATGTTTGAAACACCAATGTGTTCAATGGACCAGGCACATATTCCAAGTATATTCCAATCCCTCCGATTGTTGGTTATACCCCTATATGTGTGATTTTGTTTGATGGTTCACTTCCCATTTTCTTGGCAACCAAAACCTTATATACAGTATTTGATTGGTGGTTTGGAACATGAATGTTATTTTTCTATATATTGGTAATCATCATAACCAGGTATAATATGCATATATATATAATATAATATTTATGATATAGGGGTAGTGATTCCCATGAATTTTCAAGGGACTAAGCAACTCGTCAGTCGTTATTAAATCAGTGAATCTCATGTAACTCCATTAAATCCCAATTTGTGTTGCTTTGATTCCATCAAATCATCATTCTGGATCATTGTAAATGGGGTTATTCCAATGATATTCCAAAGATACTCCAATTAATGGTTGGCAAATGTCGGTCAATCTGTTTGTTCGTTAAATCCCACAATATAATTGACCCCATCATGATGATGGTTAACTTCCATTAATTCTCAAGGAACGTTGTAAATCATTATTCAGTTTTCATTATAAATTGAATTATTCCCATGATATTCCAAAAAAAAAGGTTGCTTCCAATGATATTTCAGAAAATCGTTGGTTTATTTAAAACTCATCATTCAGATCGTTCAGTTCTTGACCCCCAGGTGAATCATCATTCCAATGACATTCGGGTGTGTCTGAAAATAGGGTATACGGTATAGCCTTGAAATGGCCATCAAGTACTGGGAGCATGTATATCATAACTATCAACTATTGTACTGTATTTGTTTTTTCCCCAACATGATTTTCTAGTTGATTTAGCCCATATTCCTATGACATTCCAGTGAAATCAACCAGGTTGATCACCCAAAATCATCCATAAAATCCTCCTTCAGTTCATAGATTCCCATGGTCTCCTCATTCCCATCAGATTCCCATGGTCTTCAAGGGGACTAACCATGGCTAACCACCAACCACCCCCACCCCCAGCCGAGGTCATCATCAACAACCACACCACCGTGGGCGCCTGGAGTGGCGGCGTGGAACTCAACGGCATGTGGTTCCGTGGCTCGGCTATGGATTTTTCAGCAACGAAAAGTGGGGCCCTTGAAGGGTTATATAAATCCAATAAGCTATAGGACGCCTTTATAAGTTATAGGATCAAATCCCCATATTTGTCCCCTTTATGGGGCCCGATCAAAAGTGGTTCACATGCAAATTGAATGACATAACGAAGGTGATTGGAACCTTGTCTTTGTTCTCAGGACGGTTAAGGCTAAGGCGCCTTTCATGTCGAATCAGATTGAATCATCGAATCCATTTGAAAGAGGTGATCCATTTGGAACTTTCGCATCTGAAGTTGAGGCCATCAAAAAAGGGGGGATCGGTTTTGGAATTCCGCTTTTGGTCGTCTATCTGGGTGAAACCGGCGGTTTAAATCCTTGGAATTTCAAAAAATGGCTGACTTTGGCCATGGATTACCAGTGATTGTCCAGCTCCAGCGGGGTCACATCGGGATGTAGGTGACCAGTGCAAAGTGTACACGGAGCAGTCGTGGATTGATGACACTGGGTGAGAGTCGGAGCCTGGTGTTTGGATGTGTTTGGGGTTAGCATGGGTGTTTCCTCCTGAAAGATAGTACGGTTAAGTGCACTTTTATATACTTTTATAGGCTTCGGACTTTTGGACGATGGGTTTCCAACAAACTGATCATGTCATATTTTGGGGGATGAACATCCATTCAGCAGCTTTTTGGTGTTGTACCGGGATTGTACCGTTTGGTTTTGACCCATACCCATGTCACGGTAGTGCAGAGGAGGGACAGGAGCGCAACAAGTCACAACCAACATTTGAGATCCGTGGATTTCCCGGCTCCTTCAATTTTCACATGTTAGATTTTTGGTGGGTTTTAACTTCTGTTAACATATCTCCAAATAACGATATTCCTGACATATTTTGCTTGTAGAGAAGACACACGCAATTCATAAACCTGTTAAGTTGTTGAAAGGTTTGGCAGGTTTCGGTGGTGAAATCAAGGGCTCCTATCCTTGGACCGGCCTTCACTGCCAATTGGAGGATTGGGTCATGATGGCGAAGCGCTATGAAGATCATCCTGAAGTGATTGGCTACGACATCCGAAACGAGGCACCGGATGTTGTTGTTTGATTTCTGGTGCTATCCCATAGGACCCATGTATGGTATATATGCTAACATTGGGGGTATATTGATGGTAAATGTTACCACATGGATCCTATGGGTATGCAGACTTTCAGGATCAGTTATTGTATATGTTTCCCCTGGGAATGACCAGGTACATCCTGGAAAGCTTGGTGGTTTTGTCAACATAGGCTGCCTCTCCCCCAAAAGAAAATCCAATATGGACATGGACTCCGTGTTTTTTTCTGAGTGGCTCCAATGGTCTTTCGGTAGACTTAGTTGCTCTAGCTGATGACTTCTAGCTCATGTTTTTAGGACAAGTTTCAGCAAACTGTTTTGGAACATGGGTTTGTCTGATTTTTTTGGGTGGGGAACGAAAGACGCAACTTTCAGTACTTTAGAACATCATTTGCCCCATTATTTGATGGGCCATTTGAAGGTATATAATCGTATATAGCCTATTTTCAGACACCCCCAAATCATTTTAAGTTATATATATATATCGGAAATTAGCCCCCAAAATATCCCATTCCCATGTTTGTTGGTAAAATATCAGAGAGCATGTTTTCTGATGATCAGAATCTACGGCTTCAGCGGGCTTTGGACTTTTTCAGGTGCGGCCAACCAGCATGATGGGCCCCAGCCCGCGCTGGGGCAACAGTAGCCCGGTCTACGACTGGAGTCGCGCTGCTGGGAGTTGCACCCTGGTGGAAGGAGATTCCTCAATGGGGATGGAAGGAGATGGAAGGAACTTCCAGAAGATGGAGACGAAATCCTTAATATTGCCACTGGTTCATCAGAATTCAGAACTATTTTTTGGAAATCTTGGGGCAAAGTTGATGAGAGTGGTTCAATTTTTGTGAAGATTTTGGGATTAACCAGTAAGTTGTAATGGGATATTCGTGGGAAAATTATGTATAGATGGTGATATAATGGGCACAAAAAGGATGGTATAGACATAGATGTTGTTTTCAAAATGATCTATCGGTTCATGTGGGGATGAACATGAAAGTACAGTAGTAGATATTTATCAGGATTTTGACTCATACCTAGATATAGGCAAACATGTCCAAGCTCCAAACATATGGGGCCAACAAATACTCAAATTTTGTTGGCAGATATCCCAAAATGCGGTCATGTTTACCATTTGCCCCATCTTGTAAATTCAGGACTCTTGAATACTCTTAAGCGACTTCCATTTAGTTTGGTCTCAATATTGGGACAAACATGATCATAAACCATAGGACTTTGAAACAGCCCGGTTTGGACTTCATTGTGTTCTTAGTCTTATTCATAGAACTTGACTTTTGAATATTGGTGGAACTTCCTGGCTATAAACTACAGCTCAGATGGTTATGTGTGCTTGGTGGTGCATACAATCCAGCCCGTGAAATATGCTTCTGAAACGTTTTTTCTGGTATCATTAACCATCATTAACCATTGCTCAAGCAAGGTGGTGCATACAATCCAGCCCGTGAAATATGCTTCTGAAACGTTTTTTCTGGTATCATTAACCATCATTAACCATTGCTCAAGCAAGGTGGTGCATACAATCCAGCCCGTGAAATATGCTTCTGAAACGTTTTTTCTGTCATCATTAACCATCATTAACCATCATTAACCATCATTAACCATCATTAACCATCATTAACCATCATTAACCATCATTAACCATCATTGACCATCATTGACCATCATTAACCATCATTAACCATCAACAATGGGGATTTACAGTGGATTTTCATGGGAATGGCATGTTATTTAGCAGAACAATCATCAAATGGCTCACGGCCAAGTACCCTTTGATTCCCCTTTGATCAACCAGCTGGGATGTTCCGCTCAACAATCCTCCATCACTGAAATGATGATCCCCAATCCACAATCGAATCTGTTCATGAATATTAGGATTATATATATTATTATAGTTTATTATAGATGATATATATAGGTTATAGATGATGATTGCTAATCCCCAATGATATATCACCTATGATAATCAGAATTTCATGAATTATAATAATATATCTCTATCATATAGTAATAATAATAATAGTAATAATAATAATAAGTGATATATATATATATATATTGGGTATTATTATAGTAATTATCCATATCATAATAGGTGATCCAGTATCCATATAATGATGATTATCACTATTATATTATCATGAAATTCATAGCAACATATCATTTATAACATATCAATCGCTATAATAACTATAAATATCATGTTCACTTATCGTTCACTTATCACTATATATTATAAATAGTTAATATTTTTCAATAAAATATTTTATTGATATAACTATACATATATTAATAATATCAATAACTCTATATCTATGACATATTATAATTATCCATATCAATCACTATAATATTGGATCACCGATGATGGCTTCCCCAATCTCCGAGGTGCCCGTGCCTTGATGGATGCGAATGCTCCTGGTCTCGTGGTCGCTTGTTCCAACGTTTCACATGTCATAAATGTTATAAGATGATGATAGATTATGAATATGTATATATATATAATTATATATATATTGCATGTACTACATCTACCAATATCTATATATATATATTGCATGTACTACAAATCTACTACCTTTGAGAATCCTCCCAGAACTAAGTAAGTATGGCTACCTCACAGATAAAGCGGTCATCTCCATATTTTGATGTGGTTTGCCACAGCTGAAGATGACGCCCTGAAAAGCTCAGGTAGTTGAACGTATCGCGTGGCCTCAAAATAGCCTACGGGTTCCTTGACGGCACAGCTGGCACACTTTCTGATTTATTTTTGAGCAAAAGACATTGCAAGCCACTGGCATATTGTTGTTTTTTGCTAATAAAGTTTCAAACACAATGGCTTATATATAACTATATATAACTATATTTTATAATGTTTGATATGGGATCATATAAGAACCTAAATGTTCACCACATTTTTGGGTGGCTCAGGAGATGTTGAATCCAAAGCCTCCCTGGGAAGCATGGCAAGTGCCACGAGATCGGATTGTCTCTTGGATCAAGGATTGATTTGCACGAAAAAATATGACGAATAAATATAATATATATATATAAGATTATATAAGTATATTCTGTATATATAAAGCATATTCTAAAATATTCAAAATATAAAGAAAAATACATTCTAAGATATTATATCAATGTGTATATATATATACATACGGTAACGGCATTTAACTATGTGCAGGGCGGGCCAGACCGCGAGGCCCAGGGAGTAGTATAAAATACCAGTTTGTATATTTAAATGTAGTTAACATATGTTTATATAAATGAATTGGATTCCGTATGTTTAAATGGCCCGGCCAGCCAAGGAAAACCTTTCTGGACGTAGTCTAAATACCTGTTCGTATATTTTAAGATCCGTATATTTAAATGTAGTTACCGTATATATCCCTGTGTATGTATATGTGTAAAGTATTATATATATATACTCTCTATATATATATAGAGTGTATATATATATACTGTATATATAATTATATCCGGATATTATATATATATATAGTTATGTAGTGCATGTAAGAATAAGAACCAAACCAGATATTTTTGCATCATATCATTCGGGGTATCCATGGGCTTCCTGTTCGCCGAAACCTCGTCATTTGGATTGGAACAGAGGGCATTGTGACGACGCCATGAGCCCTACTGAGGTGCTAGCCGTGCACATGTATGTCTCTTGTCATGCCAGGGCAGCAAACCAGGAAATCAATTCGATACATGGCGCTGGTTGTGCTGGTTCTGCGAGAGAAATAGAACAGAAGTTTTGGGTTTCCAAAATGTAACCAACATCAGCCAATTGGAGCATGGCAAAACGACTTCATATTGTCATTTGCAAACTACTCGTACAACCTTGTAGAGTTCAAGTTTCTATGGCAAGGTTTCTACAGCCAACTTGGTGGGGTGGAGATGGCAGGGACCATCGACAACTGAGGGTGATTACTTTAGATTTGACTCCCATTTGGTGTGACTGGCCAACTTCCAAACTTCTACACATCTTGAAGATGATCTTCCTATTGATATTGTTCCAGTTTCAAGGTGGAAGATGTTAGTTTTCAGGGTTGCAAGCAGCGGTTCAATCTCCCCATGTTGGCTAAGTCCCATCTTTGGTCAAATCACCATTTTTGCTGGTCAAATGCCCCATTTCTGATGCTGTAATTCCATCTTTATGTGACGAAAAATCATGATGTTGGCTGAGTTGGCTGATGAAATTCCTAATTCTGATGTTAAATTTCACATTTTCGCTGGTAAAACCATGTAGAGTCCCTTGTATTTGAAACCTCAGCCATGCTGATGAAACGAATCTCCAGATCGAGGCTTGGAGTGGCCCGGGTGCCTGGAGTCCCAAGCATTTCATGCCAGGCGGCAGGGCATCAGTGATGAACTCGATTGACATCTATCAATAGTATTGTATATATATATATATATATACGAATGTATATTGCATCCCTGATTGCATCACTAATTGTGTATGATGATGATGATGATGGTGATGGTGATGGTGATGGTGATGGTGGTGATGTTTTTTTTGGTGATGGTGATGACGGTGATGATGGTGATGATGGCGATGATGGTGGTGATGTTTTTTGGTGATGGCACTGGCAATGATGATGATGATGATGATGATGATGATGGTGATGATGATGATGATGGTGGTGGTGGTGATGGTGGTGTTGTTGGTGGTCATGATGTTCATGATGGTGATGATGATGGAAATGGAGATGGATATTGTGATGGTGACTATGATGGTGATGATGATGATGGCGTTGTTGATGGTGATGATGGTGATGGTGATGATGAAGATGGGGATTGAGATGGAGATGGATGGATTTTCCAGTGGAGTGTTGAGAGGTGACTCTTGATTCACGCGTTTGGGTGCCAGCGACAACGCTATCATGCTTTTGTTTTTATCCTAGGTGGTGCACGGGCAATTCTCACACGTCCTGGGTCATGTTGTTGGATGGAAACCACTTTGAAATGGCTGTGGTTTACTTTTTAACCATCCATGGGGCTCGCTGCTCGGAGTTGGCTGGGGTTATGGGACCCGATTTAGATTTGTTTAAGGTGCATGAAAACCCGTCATATCCAGTAAATATCCAATGAAGATCCCATCACACATCCCATCAATATAGCGTCAATATACCATCAATATCCCGTACACATGGTGTGGGTTGGATTGTCACTCCCTGAAATGGTTGGTGGAACATTGACTCCATGTCCAGCCCCCGTGCTGCGGAGGCGTTCTCCGATCCTTTTTTGATGTGGTGGACTATGTGGGGGCGCGGTCTCTCTATGGCGAGATGAGTGGGGAGTCCCAACCTCTGGGACTTGCCGGGGGTCCCCCAGTTGCCTCCCAGTTGCCTCGGGGCCCCATACAACCTATGGGTTTCCGACCTGGGAGTGAGGTCGTAAATTAGATATCCTTCTAGCCTACAAACCATTTATGAATTAATGGGACATACAAGTTTACTACCGATTTATGAATGAACGATCTTACAAACCAATTTTCGAACTATTTCCTGGTTCCAGGAATCTTTAAGTGGGGTCTTGTTCAATTAGGTTCAAGGATATGTTGGGCCATTTTTCCATGGCCCATGCAGTAGTAAACCTCAAAGTAGAGGAACGGGGCTTCAAACTAGATCCACGTTGTTTATATACATCTAAGGAGAAATGACGGTCAAATGTTCAATGTTTACAACTAAAATGCATTTGTATACTAAAGATCCATTGGCCAAAAGTTGTGAGAGTCGTTGAACCAGGCCTCATTACCGACAGTAAACCTGAGGTCAGGAGGCATTGGAAGAGCAGATGGACAAAGACTTCGGATTTTGTATCGATGAGGATTGGGTGCCATGATGCGTGCCTTTTTGGATATGAGTTTCGATGAATATACTCTGCGAAATGCCGGGAAGGCCGGCTACCTACTTGACACGAAGCGAGTTGCGAATACGTTTTGATACGCTTTTGACCTGGTTGAAGCTTAATGAACGCAACATTGCGGTTTTGAAAGATGAATCGATCCCTCACAGATTCCCACAATGGGATCCCAGATGCAACAGCAAGTAGGACCTCACAATCAACATAGTGAGGCTGTACAGTGATTCCACCCCTCAAAAAACAGAAATTGCATGAAATTGCCATCAAAATTGTGGGGAATGACTTTTCATGGCTTTTCTGTGTCCCCTTTTTTGGAACAGTTCCAACAGTTCAACGCTGTTGGCACCCAGGACATTTGTCCTGTTTGGCTGTCCGAACTGGGTTGCTCCCTTGACACGGAGCTGGAGTGGTTTACCAAAGTTTGCCAATACTTGGCCACTTGGTTTGCTGGGTCACGTTGACCGAAAATTTGAGGGCTGTTTCTGTGATAGTATCCCAAAAACACCTATATGTACCCCCAACAATCAGGCGAATGTGGATGTAGATATAGAATACTACATAGTAGAATTCAGAATTAGTAGATAGGTCTGAATGGCGTGGGTTCGGAAAGGTCAAACATGATGAGAGGATTTTTGCAAGCCTAAGTCAGCTACGCCCAGCTCCGCCCAGGACAAGAAAGATGTTGACTTCGCCTACTGGCCGTTGAATGTTGGCCCCAAACCAGGTGGATCAGATGACGAGCGGCTCAGATGCACGCATAGCCGCATAGCTGTGATGTCGGTGCTGTTGCTGGAGCTGGAGAACTTTGGTTTTATATGGTTTTTAACTGTAATCATGGGTTTGTGATGGTATTTGCGTGTGGCATTCCACAAAGATTTGATTTCAAACAGCATTGCGGGAATGTGGTAAACATGATAGACACCCAGTTGGGGGATGCTGTATACCGTATACCACTCATTTCGGATAAACAAATGTGGATTTTATAATAGGTGTTTCACTAGTGAATCTATAGTAAATCTACAATTAAATGAGGTATAATAGATTATAATAGCATATAATAACCATTATGATATGAATTATTAGATGATAGTTGGGATTATGATATTATATAATAGTATATAGTAGTTATTATACTTCATTTCCGGTAGATTTTATGATATTTCATGTTCCACCACGTTCGTTGGGATGATCGGGCCCCGTTTTGGCCCGTCGTCGATGCCCGATGCGCAGGGCCTATGGCATTTTGACCAATGACTGGCAGCCCCGCTGGGCTGATCCACGATTGCAGGCGGGGCACGCACTTTTTGCACCGTTTGGAAATGTCTGGGTAAATTATAACACTTCACTGTTCTCCCTCACTATAATCATAGTTAGTAAGGGGAATCATCCCAAAATGGCCTTAATTCATCTTAATTCAGGTTAGTGAAATATTATAATTTACCCAGAAATGTGGTAAACCCAACAACCAACCTCTTTCCATGCGGGTTTCCTAAAATATGGGTACCCCCGAATCATCCATGGACTCAATGGATTTTCCTTTACAAACCATCCATTTTGGGTACCCCATTTATGGAACTCCCAAAATTTACCTGGCTTATAGATGCTTATTGGTTACATACAATCTACGTTTGGCAAAAAGGGGGTGGTTTATTGGTGGGTTTACCGCATAAATGACAATGAATGATGGCTAGGCAGGGTAGCGAGCCCGCAGTGGTTAATTTGATTTTTTTGTCAATTCAGTGAAATTGGTTTTGCCCCAGAATAAAGTCAGCGTAAAATCCAGTACCTCGACATGGTTCCCAATCAAAAGGACAATACTGTATCTTTGTGAACATCCACATTTCTGAACAACACCACTTGGTTTCAATTGGTTTCGTATCTATTTTCTCTTGCTTCATTGATCACTCGCCCTGTCAGAAGTCTTAATCAAATCAATGACCTCTATGTTTCTTGCATAAAACAATCACTGATGCATGCTCCACTTGACCATGGTGGTTGAATAACTATTTTTGTTTCGCCTTAAGCAACGACTTTATATCTCCGGGATTCTTTGGGGTTGAAGCCACTAACCAGTCGAGTTGAGCGCAGGCCTTGCGTCGCTTATGCCCTCAAGCAGTGTTGCCATCACCAAAGAAGGCTCAAACCAGGCACCAGCTGCCATAGGATGTTGGCCACGGCCATGAATGCCTTGGGAGAGCTTTTTTAGCCTTGGATGGTTATTGATACATCTATAATTATATATATATTATATATATATATATATTATATATATATATGTATATAATTATATATATATATACTATTCATATTAAACACAATTCCTTGCCAAATGCCATTTGAGACCAAGAATCTGATAGGATGGTGAAGTGGGGCTAACTGGGGTTCCATTGGAGTTCCCTTCCTGGAACTTACCCGGTGGACCAGGGCCATTTTCATCCAATGTTTGCGATGCAGGCGACCTTTGCAATTGCCTGCGCGCGCACGAGCTGACTCAGGCGCCTATTTTTCAGGTGGTAGACCAATGGCCACGAACCCTTGTTATTCTTTTTTCAGAGAAGATTGTCAAAAAAGCACATAAATAAATATAAACACCAGAAAAAATGCTTGTAAGCCATTGCGGTTGGTATATTATGTTTGGTAAGTATCCAGTCGTTACCCATCCAACATGGAAAAATGGTCACCATACATTCTCCTGTTGATGGGTTTGGTCCCGTGCCTATGGAACCATTGTTGGTGGACTCAATGAGTTGACCCAATGTTGGCTCCCCCAGTTTTTAATGGGAAAATCCACTATAACTGGCCATTTTCAATAGCTATGTTAAATTACCAGAGGGTATATTGTATGTACAATGTACACATCAACAAATCCACCATAGACTATAGTATCTATAGTAAAGCTAGCTACAAGCTAACTTCAAGTTGTGAAAAAAGTGGACCTATATGTTCTAAAGGTATTGTTATTTTATTTATGAGGCTCAACATTGTACCCAGCTTTCGCCAATCCACCGTTGCTTCTCCAGGCTCTTTGAGCCCTTTCCATCTCAACGTCACACCCAATGTGACACCAGGCCGCCAGGGGCTGGGGGTTTCATATCTGGATTTAAGGGATACATGGGAACACGATGTAGAATCAAATCTTACCCATAGGATCCATGGTGCTGCTAAATAATCTATATATGGTAACATGGATCCCATCAATATACCCCCTTTATGTTAGCATATATACCAGCACCATGGATCCTATGGGTTAGTAGTAACATGAAGTAACATGTTGGAGATCCTGTTTTTGAGTGGGATATGATCCTGTTTTGTGCAGCTCAACGGGGCAATAATTTCCCATGAGATCTTCAGTCTTCGGAAAGCCTCAGCTTTCCGGGGAGTTGGGGAGAAGTTGATGCTAAAGTGCAACGTTGATGTTTGGTTTGGATAATCAGGGGGATAAGGGGGTTTCCTAAAGTGGGGGTGCCCATATTTTACATCCATGTCCATGAAAAAAAACATCCGTTTTGATCCAGCTATTGGGGTACCCTCGTTTATGGAACCCCCAGAATTGTTGATGTTACCCATAGGATCCATGTATGCTATATATGGTAACATTTACCATCAATATACCCCCAATGTTAGCATATATACCAGCACCATGGATCCTATGGGTTATTTCATCCCTATGTTTGAATCCTCCGTCCGTCCCGTTGCTCACCGTTGAACTACCACTTCCTTGCCGTCACCTCTTTGGATTTTTCTAGTCCGGGCACTCGGTTTCCTTGAAAATCAGTGTGACCTCACTGGAATGATGGTTAGGATTTGGGTAATTATCCCAAAGAAGTCTTATTTCAGGTTAGTGAATTATGAGAATTTACCAAGACAAAATTATGGCTGCATCTAGCATCTGATTGCTTGGAAGTAGAATCTTAGGGTCATGGAGTCATGAAGGTGCTTTTTACCCGAACGAAACATATTCAGTCATCGTGAAATGGCGTGAGGCGCTTGTCAGACATGATTCCTCGAGAGCTTGAACCTCCGCATAGTAGCTTCCATGGCAGAGCCATTTTGGCAATTCAAACAATTTGGTAGACCGGCTGGTTGAGCCCGCGCACCGCTGTTGCATGTCGAGATATTCCATGATGACGATGCTTGCAACACTGCTTGTGGCATTCACTGCGCAGACGCGTGCCGAGGAGACCATAAATGTAAGCATCCATGGGGAGCAGATGCACGAATTGACCACTGGCAACATCTCCCAGAGCAAGACTTCGCTTCGAAGCACAGCGCGATCTTCGGGCATGGCGGATTATGGCAATTGGTGCGGTGCAGACAACACCAAAGCTGATAGAAACTATCCAACCATAGACGGTGTAGATGAAGTGTGTCGGCGCCATGATCTATGCTTAAAAGATAAAGGCTATCATGAATGTAATTGTGATGCGGACTTTATGAAAAGCATGGCACGAGCGAGTGCCCGCAGTGCGCACGGAGAATCCTACCGTCTAGCAGCTGTCGGGGTATTTGTGCACAAACCATGTGAATGCAGAAGGAGAAGATGTATTCTTAAAAATCCCTTCAGTGGGAATTGCATCCAACATGTATCTTATACCAGTGTAGGTGTAGGTGGAATATGTGTGGGATAAATTGCCCGCAGACACGCCGTCGGGCCCAATTTGCAAAGCGAGGGACCTATTTGTGCTTGGCACTTCGTCCAGGTAGATCTACCATGATCGACCAAGGTAGATTGTAATCACAAAAGAACAACAGGCAACCTTGGTTATACTTGGTTATATTATTTACCTGTTTGTAGCAATAATATATTTATAGTGGTGTTTATAATCTACAAGCAACTCGAAGTTTGCCACACCTTTCTCTTGTACAGATGTTGCTTGAACAGCTTGCGACCTACCCCAGGTTCGATAGGTCTGAAGGCAGTTCTACAGATGTGCTACGGACCATCGCGATAAAAGAAAACTCGCATGCTGATCTACATGCTGGGCAGTCGTCGCGACTTAAGGGTTTGTGTTGAAAGGCTTCTCAAAGCTTGACATTCTTGAGCAATTGCCTGTGAGTCTTCAAATAATTACAGTACATTCATGATAATTTGCCAGTTGAACTCCAAGTTTGACAGTGGGATCAACATAAACGCATCTCAGATGAGTAAGATCATATCCTCAGGATGAAGAGATTTTATGAGATTTTAGGGTTCAAGATTGTGACTTCTTCGCTTCTTTTTGCATGTTTCCAAAACAATATATGGAACAGGTGAATGGTTGGGTGTGGCACCAGCCAGATTGAAGGACTTGGAAAATGGAAAGACAACTAACCCATGAAGTAGCAACACTGTCAGGAGTTCAATTTACTGACCGTTCGTTTGAATACTGTGATCTACTTTTCATTAAGTATCATGAATTATCATGCACTAATTATCATTGAAGGGTCATTACTGACTGTCTAATTATCATTAATACATATTAATCCTGTGATACAACTGTCACAATTTTCATTGGCAGTCATCAATTCATCAATTGTCATTGGATCACGACTGGACTATGCCATTCTCTCCACTCCGAGGTCATCACTCGAGTCATTGAACTTGTCTTCAAGAAGGTCCCAACAAAACTAAACAAATCCTAAAAACCTGACATTTGGACAGCGGATGACAGCGGGGGTTCCCCGCCCGAAGAGTCTTGAAAATCTTGGACTTTCATTGACGTCCCTGGATGTAGGCAAACCACCAATCTTGACAGTCCATCAGTTAGATTCAGTTAGAATGTGTTGAAGTACGTATGTGAAGTACCTATGAGATCCTATGAGATACCTATGATGCTTTTCCCAATTGTATGTATCCTGCTTGTCAGAAGACTCATATTCTTCAAGATCGGTTTAAAACCTCTGGGGGTCGCTTGCACTGATGAGGGAAAGAACCGCTCATTGAGGCCAACCCCACACTGGTATGAGTCAGCGTACCTCCATCAGTGGCATCCAACGAACGAGCATTGGGTTTGGTTACTGTGTATTTACTTGAGATGGACCCAACGGTTTAAATTTACACAGATCGGAATTGGTTGAGTTATGCCGTCTACACTCGCAAAACCAACTTGGAAACAACCCTCCCAAATATTGAAAAGGGCAACCGCCCCCTGTTTAGGGAGTTCAACCCCCATTTCTTTCAGAATATTGCATCGAGTTGAAAGCACACATTCATAGATTATCTTAAATCAATCTATGTAGCACCTCAACAAGAGTAAGCACAGCATCCTATACAACTTTCATTTCTCATCCCATGCCCCATCATACTGATTTCGTATCAGATGCGGCATTTGGCACAAACTCTTCACCAAAACAGCGCCAAAATGCTAACAACACCTAAAAACACTTAAAATAATACCAACATTACCGACTATACATGTGCCAGGGTCGAAACATAGGTTGTTTTCCTATCTTGAAGGATGGTCATCAATCCATCAATAGGGATTTTTATAGCCATTACAAGTATTCCCATTATGAGATGGATGACCATAAACCTTATGCCGTGTTTTGACCCTAGCACATTATATTTTAGATAGCACATTTAAGCCTTCTGTGTTCATTGATGGCCAGGAAATGCGAATGGACAAGACATCTTTGATATGTCTCAATTGGTTCAAGATGATATTGCCCTCTGGTAATTTAACATAGCTATTGAAAATGGTCAGTTATAGTGGATTTTCCATGATTTTCCCATTAAAATTGGTGATTTTCCATAGTTATGTTAGTTTACCAGAGGGTATATACAACATCATCAGGAGAAACAACCAACAGATTCAGCAGATTTGTGTCACAAGAAACCATCAGACCCAAGAGCGTATCGCCACGCCAGACTGCCAGCAGACGGTCAGCAGGAAATCCAATCTATCCACAACTCCCCAACACTGAGCTGCTCATACCAAGAGAAATGCCAACTAAAAAAAAGGTCAGGAGAAATGGCAGAGGGTAAAATGTGGACAGATTTTCCTCACATGTCTATGCTCAACATTTCACTGTTTGTTTGTTGAAATAAAAGACATGAGATGAAACTTCACAACCGTAATGTTGTTTTTTTCAGGTTTCAACATAAACATAAACATAGCTTTGATATGCGTTGATCATGTTTGATATTGAAGAGTTAGTTGGAGAAATGGTCTTTTGTTGATGACAAATTCTCATTTGAAAACATGTTTTTGATTCAAGAGGTGGAATATTGGAACAGTGCCACTTTTTTCAAGAACCGTTGGGTGCCGAGGGGTTTTAGAATATCGAGGCCGTGGACTGAAAACACAGAGATTCTTGACTTTTTGGTGGTTATTTGGAAGAAACCATGTAGAAACATAGTTTCTTTTCACTTAAGCAGAGTTTATGATTTTCTTGATTTTAAGGCACGTTCTTTTTTTATGTTCAATCAAGATCGTTTATTATTAATGTTGAAGTCCAAGCTCAATCCACAACTCCCCAACGCTGGACCATATAGACCCTGGTAGTCATCGGGGTTGGAAGATGAGTTTCCTCTAAAAAATGGTGATTTTCAGGGTCGAACTGTTAATTTACCAGAGGGTATATGATATTATAATATATTATATAAATATATGGAGTATAGTGAGTGGAACATTCACAACATATGTTTTTTGATTGATTATTTGTTTATCATGACAACAAGGCACTGGCATTCAAAAGAGATACCAAGCAACCAGCACAGATGAACAATCAGCTGTCAATAAATGTTGTTGGCATTGAGGAAATACAATATCTCAATATCTCCAATACCAAGATGTGAAATAGAGGAAACATAGCAGAAGGTTTGAGGTTCACACGATTTCCTGTTGTATTTGTTGGATGTGTTATGGTAACTGTTGGGAGAACCCAAACATTAAAAAATAAAGCACTACTCAACACCAGGGTAGGTTCAAAATAGAAGAGAAGGCAAAGGATGTGAGCATTCGTGGACATAGTACTGCCAATGTTGATGACACGTATTCCACCCTTGCAACTTCGTATGAATCCACAATGCAAACAATATTCAATGTACATTGCATTCCAATTCCATATTTTGATTAAAAAAATGAAAGAATCAAACAAGCACCAAAACCATACGGAAGGACTGACTTTAGATACATGTTTACAGTTTTTATACAGTATCGTCTACAGGTAGCTTGACTATAGTTCACACATGGACTGTATAATGATTGTATATTAATCATTATTAATCTGGATGATGTTGATATACGAGATTGAGCGAAAAAAGTGCTCAACATTAGAACCGAATACAGGCCACTTTCGGGCATTTTATTCAAGCTGTGAGATCATAATATCGAAACAATCCATATGAACAAATCAAACCTCAGCCTCAACCCCACATCCACACACACACAAAAACACAACGGCAAAACAATTGTCCCGTTGATTTAAACCAAACAAGACCATAACACTGTTGCATCATTTTCTCCCCACCCCACCCCCATACACACAAGAAAAAAGGCAGCGAACAAACATTGAACGCCAGAACCCCTCTTTTACCGTTTTCCTCGCCTTACATCCCTTTAGGGAAACTCACCATGGTCATTTCCCACGTTGTTCAATTGTCACGTCACAGTTTTCTTGATTCAAATCAGTGAGTTTTTCCTGTTTTTGTGGGTTGCTATTCTTGTCCTTTATGTTTATTTATATATATATATGCATATATAATATATATAGAATATAAGTGTATATATATAATATATATATATTATATTATAGCAACTAATCCTAAGCAACTCGTTTTTTTCCCTCCGCAGATCCGCTACTTTTCTCCTTCGCCGATCCATCTGCGATCGCCAGTTGCTTCACCCAGTTGCTTCGGCCAAGTGGACGAGCCACTCTGGGGAGCCCCTTTTCCATGGTGTCAACCCTTGCCAGGCGCGAAACCTCCCGTGGTTTCAAGGGAGCCAGTTGGAGCCTCATGTTATTCAGAATCTCATGTTTTGTGTCCACAACTGAATATATGTATAGAATACAACTATAATCTATATAGTTATGTAATGTTATGTAATATATATAGTTACATATATATACAGTAAACAAAAATATGCACCTATCCCATTGAAGACCTTGACCATGTTTGAGTCAGCCAGCCGGGCAGGCCCTTTGGTGCCTTGGCCTTCTTCGACATCTCTCAAGGAGATGCCCGAAGCCCGATATATTTGGAAGGTGCCAAGCTCGGATCTGATGTCCCAGCCGGGTCTGATCAAACCTGGGAGCCCGGCCCGGCCAGGTCTTGGAGGGCGTTGATTCGGACCCGGGCAAGGACGGGGGGGGCCAAGGCCCTCGGACTGCCATGCACATCATGTGGTACGGGGGTCGGAAAACAAGGATAGAACCAGTTGTTATCTTACGCTACTGTGATGGCCCTTTATGATAGATATATGGAAATAGATAGAAAGTAACAGTATCAGGTTGATTTATCACAATCTTTAACAAGCAAATCCTAAACTATGATGCTTGATGTTGTTTGGACACCATGAATTTGATGACCCAACGATTCAGGGGAACAGTTTCTACATCAAAATTGTTTATTCTCCAGACTCTGTGGATGGGTTTGGCTCAAATACCTGATTTTTTATTGGTGGTCGCAAGGACGCCTTGACAGTGCGCTGCGACGACCTTGAAGCGTGGCTCGGCCATGGCGGAAAATTTGGTTCCGAATGATGGGATTCCCCCATTGTAAGTGGCGGAGATCTTGGGGATTTTTATGGATTTTTCATGGGAATATATGACGAATTTCTGCACGAGAAATGCTGATGGCTATGGGTTGCTGTTCTTTTAAACCCCTGTTGGCAACGATGTTTTTTTTTTTTGGTACATCCTGCAGGGATGATAGCTGTAAACGTGAAAACTGTTATAGACCCAGAACCAACCATCCTATTGTTGGTTTCATTCCCATTTCCCCTAAAAATAGATGATTTAAAGTGATCTAAACGTTGATTTAGTATAAAGAGCCACCATTTTGATCCGTTTTCTGGGTTCACCGTGCCCCTTTTATGACTCATTCTCACTTGTTATAGCTCTAATATTTTGTTGGTCTTGCATATCTTCTCTGATTTCACTGAGGGAAGCCACTCAAAGCTGGGGATATCAGTGATCGCTGACACATCCGACACGGTGGGACATATGGGTTATAATCCCGCAAACATCACTGGGATATGTCAAAGGGGACATAAAGGTATAGAAATCACATATGTGTTTTAGATGTTTTAATTTACATTTATCTTACTAACATTCATGAATTACTCATATTATTTATGTGCAGGACATTTGTTACTAACATTTATCTTGGAACTGCTTATATAATCTTACCCTCTGGTAAACTAACATAGCTATGGAAAATCACCATGCTATTAATGGGTAAATCCACTATAAATGGCCATTTTCAATAGCTATGTTAAATTACCAGAGGGTATATATGTTGTCACAATTTCCATGACCATTGGACCATTGGCCTCCCTTTTTTACCCCTCGGATCGCCGGCGAAGCCTCCGCCGTTTGAATCTTCCCAGGGTCAAGGAGCTCTGCATCCGTCGCCACTTCGGTGGCTTCGTGCTGCATGAGGGCTATGCCTACTTTCGCCTCAGCTCGCCAGAGGCAATTTTTTGATGGAAATCTCCTGGAAATCCTATGAAGAATGGTGGCTTCAATATGGGACATATATGGGAAATAGATGGGAAATAGATGGGAAATATATGGGAAATATATGGGAAATATATGGGAAATAGATGGGAAATATATGGGAAATATATGGGAAATATATGGGAAATATATGGGAAATATATGGGAAATATGATGGGAAATATATGGGAAATATGATGGAAAGTATGGGAAGTAAGCAGAATGAACCAGTACCAAGCCGCAAAATGTGTGGATAGAGAGTTGGTTGTACAACTTCATATCTTGGCCTACTTTGATGGGCATCTACAGTTTTTTCTCTCGACCTAACTTGCCCAAAAACAACTTATTTGAAAGGTATCAAACATTGGCCATGAACATGTGGAATTAATGAAAACCCATTTTCATAAACCTAAATGATTGTATAATGATTTCACAAAGGACAAGTTTTGGCTTAGGAAACCAACAAACATGTTCATAGATGAAGGTTGGTAATCCGTGCATGCTCAGTGGAATCACTTTCATCAACATCCAGTCTCTCCAGCATTCGGGGGATGTTTCCGTTTTCAAATGGGCCAATAATACCAAACGCCGGGGAAAGAATAGACGGACTTGAAGGGCTCGAGACTGGATAATTGTGGGTATGTCTCGAACATAGCAATGATTATCCACTCAATATTGCATGATGAAAAGCATCATAATCTACGAAATTGGTGAAAATTGGGTTTAACATGGTTTAACATATGTGTAATTAACTGCATTGAAAGAAAACAATCCACATATGGCCAGTAGATAATAATAGAGTAGTTATGTTCATTGCCCTGTATGAATCACTTTACAACCGTTTTCCGCAAACATACTATATATTAGTTTTACATATCACTTCACTATTCATGGAATGACTTACTACCTACTATTATCATTATTCTTCTCTATGATATTATATTATATATATATATTATACATGTATACATACACATGCGTACATACACGCATAATTTCCATTGGTAGCAACAATTGTCTGCCGCAGGGCCTGTTGATGCGACAACAACCTGGTTGGGAGCCCTGGTTCCAGATCCGTTCACCAAGACCATTGGGATGTGGCTTTGGATAATGTTGTTTTTTTTCTTCGGACCACAATCAGGTATTAATGGATAAATATATGTATATAAATATGCCACAAATATATGGTATTTGTGGTATAATTATCCATATTAATTAATTAATATTTGATGGATTGTATATGGATATTCCATGGGATCTTTTCAGGGGAGAACATTCATGGGCGCCATCCATTCGTCGGTAGGTTATCCCAAGACCGTGCTCTACGTGGCCGAAGAGGTGCGATTTTTTTTCCGGCGGAATTTCGGAGGCTCCAAGCCGCAGAGGTTTCACAGGATCCAAGCATCAAAAGCTTGGGAAAATGAGGATTTAACCAGCTGAATCCATGAAGAATTGGGGGTACCCTCTGGTAAACTGTCACATAACGAACTGGAAAATCACCATGCTATTAATTGGAAAACTCACTATTTCTATGGTCATTTTCAATAGCTATGTAACAAATTACCAGAGGGTAAATGATGGCACATTGAGATTCAACCAGCTTATGGTAAGTAAGCTCCTTTGAAAAAGCAACGAAAAGAGACCAACAACCATCGATCTATCCTGTCATGATCCAACCGGAAGTACTCATGCCGCTGCCTTTTTCGGACAGCAGCTACTGGATCGGATGTTCAGCTTCGGACAACCACATTTTGTCCAGATAGACACCAAGAAAACAGGGACATCAGCGACAAACACCGTAAGTTCTTCACATGTTCCGATTTGTTTGATGGGTATGTCCATGTCATTCCAGCCGGCTTGGGGAATATATGTTCTATATTGTTCTATATTGTCCAGAAATTGTCCATGTCATGTGTTTTAGTTTTTTTTTTTTGACGGACATATGTTCTATATTGTTCTAACAGCAACTTATTGTTCTAAAGCATATATGTTCTATGTTCTATAAGGACTTACTGTATGTTCTATTTGTTGTCTGAGCCCCTTAAGCAACAGCTTTTTGTTGCTTATGATTCGACCCGCTGGGAATCCCAGGTGCGGCTTTGTGGCATGTGGCAACAAGTGGAGCCGCTGGAGGCGATACCGTTACCAATGGTCTCAACTGAGATATCCAAATTAAGTCCCTAGGTATATATAAATATAATATATTATATAGTTAGATATATCAATTATCTAGGGACTTAATGATATATAGATATTTGATGATATTTGTCCCATTGATAGATAGATATATATTTATAGTTAGATATCTCAATGATCTTTAAACCAAATATCAATGAGTATATAGAAACCATATATATATATATATAACGGATATGTTTAATTTCTCATTTTTCTCATGTTTCTCATTAATCTCCGACATTTTCCATGAAAGTATTGTGTTTGGTCTAAATCTAAATTGTCTTAAATGGATTCAAATTCATATGATTGTTTTTTGCATTTGGTGTGTTTTTGCTTACCCCAATCGGTAATTATTTCTTTATATCTGGTAAGCCCACAATTAACCTGGGTATTGTTTGCTGGTTGCCGTGAACTGATAAGATTAAACTTGGTTTATTGATCTATACTTTGAGACTTCTTGATACCAATTGCCCCATTCTTTGCACATTCAAACATTTTCATGAAGTGCGGTAAGGGAAAACGTCTTGTGAGAACGAGCAGACCTAGCTAGGTATGGCAAACAAATTGAGATAGTCCATGAGGTTGATAAATGGATGACAAGCGAATGATGATCCAATGTCAGTGGGTGTTTGGTTGAACGCATCCCTTCCTAAGATGATGATTCCAAGGTTATATCGACAGTGCATCTGGGATATAAGGAACTTGAGAACAAACCAATCAAAGTAGAGCTTTGGCCGGTCATGTCCTTTCCGAATTTCCCGAGGAGACTAGTAGATTATTCATTTTGATTTGAACAATCTGAAGTAACCCTTCGAATGATCCGCAAAAACACTGTTCGAAGTATGTCTTCGTGGCTACTCTTTTCTAGAGTTGCAGCACCGACACGTCGCGCAGTCGTTTGATGCTCCGGCTGGTTCCTTCAAAGCTTCAGGCAGATGGGTCGTGGTCAGGTACCGAAAGTTCCAAAAATCGGATGTTTATTCCTTGGTTGTTTCCTAAAATGAATCGGCCAGATCTTGACCAATCCCAGTTTGATATGTGGAAACCACGAAACGCTGTCCGCATTCAAGGATGGACACGTGTTTTTTTCCAATCATCATGTGGATAGTACATACATACTATTGAATATGACACATAAATATACATAAATATACAGAAATTTACAGAAATATACAGAAATATACAGAAATCATGTGCCACAGTGGCTTTCTTCCCAGCGTTCTCATGATCCGGTCAGTTGCCCTGGGCCATTTTAAGGGTCGCCAACGGTCCTGACGACTGGGTCGCCTGAGGAGATGTCATTTGCCTGCCGCTGAGTGATGAACACCCTGAGGCACAAGAATGAGTGGGTCACGGGACCGGTAAGGGGTCGGGTTTTGTGGGGGATTCTGAACAGTGGGAAATCTCATAAAAAGCTGCAATTTAGTGAAGATATGAGGCAGATATCATTTTTTAGCATCCAGAAGAAAACCCGTTCTACCTTTTCTGGGCCACATCTGAAAGATATGCATACATATATTCAGGCCAGCTTTTTGGAGGGATCAATTTCTTCTTGGAACCATGACCAACCCTGAGCCAGCTGCCGCTGAAAGCTGACCATTAGAAGCCTTCAAATAAACTACTGTTGTTCCCGCACCTAGAAATGCTCAATGAAACAAGGCTCCCAATAATTATGGCATCAATTCCATGAGTTTATTTTTTGTCAGCGTGTTCACTGAAGTACCAGGGGTTTGAAGCAACTATGGAGAAGACAACATGGAAAGATGACCAAGAGATGTCAACAAACTGAGCTGAGCCATTAAAATCCACTGCTGATTGGTTAAAAACTAGGGGGTGATTAACGTACCTGATATTATTGTGATTAATTATGATTGATAACACACAATTAACAATCATCCATTCATCGTTGGGTGGGTTAAACATGGCCCATAGTTAACTACTGTATCATCCATTAATATCCATTAATCATTATTTATTGGGCATTATGATTGATAACCCATAATCAAACTAGATAGGTGGATAGATGATAAGCATTGATCAATCCAGTATGATTGATGACCCATTGGTTTCTTGTTAAACAGGCTGCCTTGGAAGCGTGCCAGCGTGTCAGCAGACCCAGAGATCCCGGAGATATCCCGGGGATATCCAAGGGGGGTCACGTTGAACGCACCAAGTTGCACCACACCGTTTCAGACATCAAGAGATCTGTATGAGCCAACCGAAAATAGCCTGGTTGATGGGTTAATATAGGATAAATTAGGATAATATAGGGACTTATACTACTTGACTTATTGATACTTATTGGGGATTATGATGACCCATAGTAGGACAACCGTTTTCAACCAAGTAGTATAATGAGATGGGATAGGGGTAGTTTCATGGCTCGCTGATTTGTTTAAATTGATCTTCTTAGAACTGGTATAAGATGGTGTAACTAAGAGATCCAATGCAAGATTCGAGGCCATACTTATTGCCTACATGGCAAAAGGATCAAAGATTGTGCTAGAAATGGGTGGGGGATAAAGTTATTGACCACAAACGAAGGATAGAATGGGGTTTTCCCCAACTGTTTGGACAAACGAACATACCCCTGTTGAATAATTAGGGGGTCACCCCCACGATCTGTTATAGTATGTTTATTTTCATCCATCCAAAGTTGTCTGTCTCATTAACTTCCCAGTTGTTTGTGAGTGCTGTGTGTTTGTGCGCGTGTGAACATGGAACGTAATCAATAAGTGAAACATGTTGAAGAAGAAGCACACATTTGAACACCGACCCTAGGCACGGAGACTACGTCATTTTTAAAAGCGATACAAATTGCATGCCAAATGAAGAAAACCCAGGGGTGTCTATCAAGCGCGGCCATCTACTATCATCTACTGACTGTCTCGAATGAATCCTTACGTGAGCACAATTCAATAAGACTATATGGTGGGTAATCATAAACCATCCCATTTTTGATGGTTTCCAACCATTTATGGTGATTTTGGGGGATGGTTTATGATTGTTTTAACCACAATAAAATTCATATTTATGATGTTTGTAGCTCATCACATCTCAAGGGATAGTCACTCAGCTTCTCCCAGAGTCACAGCTAGTCACTCTCCGAGGCCTGCTTGGAAGCGCAGAAGCCGGGCTTTGTGTTCGGAACCCCAGCCTCAGTTGAGTTGGTTGATATGGTTAGCGTCATAGAATGTCATAGCACTCGATACATTTAATGATATACAGTTGATTTTAATATATGGGGACCGTTACCCATTTCCAATCATTGTAATTTTGGAAAATTTTAAAATTTTAGATCACTTGGAATCCCCACTGACCAGCCAGAGTATGTTCTGTTATATTATTATACATTGTGATGGGGATGTTCTGATATTTTTTGTTGACTTTTAAAAACTTTGGCTTGACAAAGTTTGGGCAAGTAGTTGGGTTACCATGATTCATATTTGCCCTCCGGTAATCAAAAGTGGCAATGGAAAATGTATAATTCATAGATAGTTTTGCGTAGCTGTAAACCTCCATTTTGTTCGGGGATTTCCCAGCCAGCCACGTTTGACTACCTCTGGCGACATCATCATTCATTCCCTGATTATTTTCATCATCATGGTTATTCTCCCATTGTATACCTACCCTCTGGTAGACCAACATAGCTACGGAACATCTCCATTTTAAATAGGTAAATCAACTATAAGATGGCCGTGTTCACTAGCTATCTTAGTCATTACCGGTAGATAAGACACCATGATGTATCCAAAGGGACGATAATGATGATCTCACGTCGTGACCGAACCCTGAAATCATGGTGAAATGTGGAATCATCCCTATAGCTGGCCGCAAGTTTCAGGTGAGTCAGTGTAATTTACCCAGATCAGTATTCTCCCATGATCATTGTTACAATATATAATTATATATATAATAATATATATATATATATTAATACATATGTGCTCTTGGTAAATTACAATATTATCATATATTATCACATTATCTCAGTAATTTACAGTGACATTACATATTATCATATTATATTTTATATCCCACATGCTCCATGTATGGCATATTTACCTACATTATGTTGATACATATTCCATACATGGTGCATATGATATATATATATACAGTGCAATTATATGTACATATTATCACTATTTAATAAAACATTCATGATCATTATATATATAGTGATTAACATTACATTATATGTTATGATTTAGGGGTTAAGTACCTTCTCAGACAGTGTTTGGATCCATAGGGATGATATATATATATATTAATATATATATATATACACATTATATTATCCCATGATCATCACATTAATATAGCACCATTCTCATCTGGCTATCCCAGATCATCCAGGATGCACGACTTTGCCAGTGCCTGCCTCATGGAGCCCAACGAGGTCGGAGCGGTTGAACCAAGGACGATCAACACCAGTAGTCCTGGCATGTCCCTGGACATTGGTGTTTGTTCAATTCATATTCATTCATATATACACATATTATATATCGTATGTAAGTTATATATATTGTATACAACATACATATATTATATGTATTTTGTATACTATCTCTATATATAAAACTTACATACGATATATTATTACATACCTATATATATACATACATACATATATATATATATACAGTAATTTGTATATATATATATTCTGTATTAAACGTATGTCTATGTTGTCCATGGAATGTACATATATACCTATGTTATAATTGGATACATCATCCCAGCCGTGGTGGCAAAAATGCGCCAAGTTGTGGTATTCTGCTGTTTTGTTCAGATGGGTTTGTCTGAAATGACACCTAAAATTCCAAAGGATTATTGTCATGTTTCCTCATTTGTCGCGCTTGCATGGGATATTGGGCCATTTTTGGAGTATACCAGGTCCACAGTGGAGTCCACAGCCACCTGTTTTTGTTCCCCTCCTTAAGTACTGAATGTTGAAGGGTCAATGCCTTCGATTTCGGACCGCGCTTGGATCGTGAGGCAGAGGATCTTCGCACGCGGCTGGAAAATGGCCAGTGGAAACGGTGCCAGCAATGCCGAAATCGTGGTGGGGGATATACAGGATACGGGTTTGAGAAAGAGGAATTTGAGCTAAAATTTAAGCATCAACTATATAGTCATGAGATTTATTTTTGTTAGGGGTTTAAAGGGGATGTTTTTATGGGATAAAGAAATAGCTACTAGGTACAGTAAATATGATGTGGGTTTGTCCGAAACTTGGGATAAAGGAAATTTGCTCAATTTCACAGCAGTCTCAACAATGATAATCTATATAACTGATCTAACCCTAAATTTGGATAATATATTGGCAGATAGACCCATCCGGCAGAAGCCTTCCTGTTCCAGACCAGGATTTGGCTTCGGAGAAGCTGCATGTGAGTCAATTTACTGATGATTCTGGCCCTTGACTCTTTGGTTTGGATGGCCAGATGTGTTTGACACGGGAAACTTTCACAGGTTCAAGTGGAAATTCCGTGTTTCCATTCTTTGATTCTGTTCTGACCTCACTGTAGATGATGTTTGGCATGGATTTTGTACTCCATTCAGTTGCCCATGATGGTTTTGACATGTTTTGACATCTTTGTCCCCGGTGGATTACCCTCTGGTAAACTAACATAACTATGGAAAATCACCATTTTTAATGGGAAAATCCACTATAAATGGTAATTTTCAATAGCTATGTTAATTTACCAGAGGGTAGAATCCAAATCAATCCAACCAAAAAATAGTCCGATTGGATCCTTCAGCAGGTGCAGTGAAGCTTCCGACGCTGGGATTTATTTGCTGGAGCCAAAGCCGTTCTATGTAGGCGTGCTGAAGTCAACAACTGGGCCAAGGAGAGCTATTTTCACTTGTCTGGGAGTTTAAAAAAAAACGAAAAACCATTAGGTATTTTATATCCCATAGGATCCATGTATGCTATATATGGTAACATTTACCATCAATATACCCCCAATGTTAGCATATATACCATACATGGATCCTATGGGTATGTGGTGTCTTTAGTCGAGTTTGTGAGAATTAGATACTGTAGATGTGACGTGAATCACTGATCGAAGATTCAGTTTTGAAAGGGAGCTTCCCTTTCAGCAAAACGGATTGGCTCAAATCGCACCCAAAATTGGATTTTCATGTGGTCAATGATTGCTTCAAACAGAAAGGTTTCTTAAGCCATTTTTAAACCTACCCTTTGGTAATTGAACATGGTGTGCTGGAAAATCAGCCATTTAGAAGTGCCCAGCTCACCCTTCCAGGCGTCGACATGTTTAAGGACATGGATGCATTTCCAGGCCGCTTGCGGCAGCGAAGACACCCACGGTTCCAACACCCCATCAATGGTTCTAACACCCCATCAATGGTTCCAAATATATGTAAATTGTCTACGAAATGGTGAAATCGTGGGGAAGGGATAGCGATGTTAACCCAGAATGTGTATTGCTAAGGTTAGCTGGTGGGCTGAAACATGAGGTTTTCTCACACTTGGAGGGACAATTCGCAGGAAAACCCTGTATTTGAGAGAGGAACAAAAATGGTGTTGTAAAAGCACTCCTTTTGCATGTTGCGCTGTGATTCAATCATTCAGCCACAATGGATCTGTGGCCGTATCAGGCACAAGGGTTTACATCAAGTGAAAAGAACGTTTGCATTTGCCTGCCATGAGCGTCATGTTGTCATAGAGCACTAACATTGGTGCCGCGGAGCGTTCTGGTCGATTTCCAGGTGAAGTCATGGGTTCCTGGCGACCTTCGTTTGCCAGGTGCAATGGTGAGCCTACGACGGCATCTACAAGCACTGCTTCGAGATGGGAAGGCGGTCACTCAGCTTGGGCATGGAGTGCCGCTGACGGTGACGAGGAGCAGTGGGGTGCCGGGGGCGGTGAGTTAGGCTCAGCTAGCCTTGGAGGTGAAGGTCAGAAGGATCCATGGTGGGGTTCACATGTTGCGGATCCCTGGGTGCCCAATGCAAGTAGTGAAAGTGGTAGCGGTGATAGTCAGAAGAAATCTAGTGCCAACTACGATGGATGGCTGGATGATGCACAGATGAGAAATTTCAATGTAGCGCAGGTGGAGCAGACCACTGCGATGTCACATGGGAGATGGTATGGTGAAAATCATGGTAGCAATGCAGCAAACTGGAATGAAGGGTGGTGTAATCATGATGGAGACAAAGGAAAACCTACTGAGAAGCTGGTGGTTCCCGAGTTTGATGGGGAGGGCACTAGCGACCAAGACCTAGGCAAATCTGCAAGGTCTTACATCAGGAAAGTCCAGGTGTGGTTGCGTTGCACCAAGCTTCCAGCACATCAGCGAGCTCTGGCCTTGTACAACTCTTTGGGTGGACGGGCTTGGGTGTACGCTGAGGAGCTGGATGTGGATCGTCTTGCCACTGACAGTGGCGTCTCCTACTTCATGCAGTGGATCCAGACGAGGTTCATGGAGGTCGAGGTGTCCAAGGTTGCCCAGTTGATGTCCGACCTCTTCAAGCGCGGAAAGCGGAAGCCAGAGCAGTCTGTGCGGGACTTCAACGTGGAGTTCGAGCGGCTGGTCTTGCGCCTGGCGGAGATCCAATGCAGTGTTCCGCCTATGATCAAGGCATGGCTGTACCTGGACAAGTTGCGCCTTTCAGAGACGGAGGAGTTGGCCTTGCTGTCCAGTGTGAACAATGACTACGACTGCAGAAAGCTCCAGCATGCTGCGCTTGTCCAAGATAGAACAATCAGGCGCCCGAACCACTGGAGCCCTGATGATGGACGTGGAGGTGGAAAGCGCTGGGGCCGCCAATCGGTCCACATGACCAACAATGAGGAGGGAGCTCTCTCCTCTGAAGATGATGGGCAAGGGGGCAACCTCTCTGATGATGGTGAGATTGTGGATGAGGACACCGCCATGGAGCACTACTCAGCGTACATGACGTACCAGGGGGCGAAGGCGAAGTACCGTGAGGTGCTGAAAGGCAGGGGGGTCGACAAGGATGCCATGGACAAGCGCAACCAGGATAGGCTGCGATTGGCATAACAACGGAGCTATTGCAGTGCCTGCAAGCGCAGGGGCCATTGGCACAAAGACCCTGAGTGCCCACTGAGACAAAAGGGTGCTACATCGTCTTCGGCCTCGTCTTCTGGTGGTGGTGGCGGTGGTCAGGTGCAATCTGTCAATTTTGTGCACCAGTGCTACATGACTGAGAATGCCCAGGGCGCATCCCATAACCTCCAAGCGGGGCAATTGCTTTCTGCAGGTCAATCCTATGAGACTGAGTATAACCTGGGCGCATCCCTTGGTCTTCAAGAGTGTGGATTGCTTTGCAGTTCTTTGTGCTTTACTCCCAACTGCCCAAGTCGTGGCGAAATCCCAAAAATCTTGAAATTAGCTTGGGGGAAGGCTTTTGTGGAAGTCGTGGCGATGCGGCGTTTAGCTTGTGTTTAGGGTAGGTTGCTGTTTTACTATCTCATGTAGACGGCTGCTGCTGTTGCTGTTTCTGGGTACTTCTACACATCGCTGGGATTATCATCTCTACACTGCCATGGCGGTGTGCTGGGATTCTGCAAATTGTCATTGTTTCGCTACCAGTGATCCAAGGAAGGGCAGGTTTGCGGCTTGCGGGCCAAAGTCCATGTGTGTAGATGCGGGGCTTTTTCCGTACCTCGTTTTGACCTCGTTTTGGACCTCGTTTTGGACCTCGTTTTTTTCCTTTATCAGAACCCATCCTGCAGTATACAAACTAGGAAAAGGGCCTGCTTCGCGTTTTTGTTTGTGGGCGTCAACAGTGCCCACGAAAAAAGGCCCGTTGGAAACCGGCGTTCCGATGGGATTCGATCAAAAACGAATAGAACATAATAGAACCATGATAGTTTGGTCAAGGCTTGTTAAAGCTAGCGTTTCCAATGGGGAAAGGGGTTTTGCAAGGTCTGTGCCGGGACAGGGGTCGTGGCGAGCGTTTTGATTGGGAATAGCTGTCAAACGCAAACATTGCAAGGACTTGGGCGTATGGGTGTATGACTGAAGAGTGCGAGGCGGAAGGAGGCTTGCCTATCAAGACGGATGGCACCATTTTGGAGCCTGACAACAAGATGCTGCTGGCCATCGTGGACACGGCCTGCACAAAGACTGTCGCCGGCTACGATTGGTTTGAACAATATATGTGAAAGTAGCTGACGATGCGGGCATCCCGGTCAGCACAGTGGATGAGGCTGAGCACTTCAAGTTTGGTGCCTCCAAGGTTTACAAGTCTCTTTTCGCAGTGAAAGCATGGTTTGCAATTCATGGCAAAGTGTTTGGCGCCAGGGTGTCAATTGTTTCTTGCAATGTACCTCTTTTGTTCAGCAGACCTGTGCTCGGCAGTTTGGGCATGTGCTACGACGTTGCAAAGCAACAAGTTGGGCTCGCAGCTTTGGGCCTCAGTGAACTGCCGCTGCTGACTAGTCCGACCGGACATCCTGCACTTTTGGTCTCTGATTTTCTTAGTGATCCAAAGCTGGCAGAACTGCCGGATTTCTCACCCGAGAAGGTGCACATTCCGGCGGAGGAAGTATACATGAGTGCGAGTGTGGGGGGCCTCAAACCATTGTTTTATCCAAAGAAGCTTTCAAGAGAAATCCAAATCATGCTGGAGTCCAATCACACATTGAGTGGAGCGAGCTTCATGGGTTGGTGGAAAAACGCAAACCAGTCAAGAGACTTTTGGATGGAGACTGAATGTGAGTTCTGGATGGAGACTGAATGTGAGTTCATCAGAGTGCATGTCGTGCCACGGAAACATTTATTTAACCCTTCAGCATGGAACACATCTTTGGTGACACTCAAGAAGCAACTGCTTGATAGCCTGGATGGACATCGCATCACAGAACATATTTCATGTTTGTCAGAGGGAGTTTTGTCATCCGTTTTGGAAGATGACACATACCAAGAGACCGTTGCCCCACAGCATGTCAACAGTCCATGGATCGGACGCAGTCGTTTTCGCAAGTTCAAAGTTGCGACCGGCGACACCCACGATCTTCCCGGCCTTTTAGACGGCACGAATGCCTGCGTCCGGAACGTCGCCATGGTCCATGAGGAAGGGCGAGCTGACGGAAGAACTGGAGCGCCGGGGAGTGCCAGTCCATGCCAACTGGTCAGTGCCGGAGCTGCGGTCCATCTTGATCGAGCAGCGGGAGTTGGAGAAGCCTGCAGCGCAGATCAACCCATTGAAAGGGCTGACCAAGATGTCCCTGCCGGAGTTGGTGACAGAAGCCGAGCAGCTGCAGCTGACGATGCCTGCCAAGCCCACCAGGGGCCTTTTGATGCGGATGATTCGCGACTCCAAGAGCGCCCCAGGCCAGACGGTCGTGAGTTTTGGGAAGTTCAAAGGTTGGATGTACCACGAGATTCCTCAGGGGTACTTGCAATGGAGCATACAGGAGGTGAAAGCCAACTAGAATTCTCACCCAGACTTAGTCAGACTGGCAACCTGGGCCCAAGGAGAGATGGAGCGCCGGCAGAAGGCGTCCAGCAGTGGAATTCCTGTGGCGAAAGACCCGGAGGCGATGGCAGTGGTCCCGCCGCCAAAGATGAAGGAGCTGGCTCGGCACTCGGAGTCGTCCGACGCTTCTTGGAGCAGGGTCGGAGGCTATTCCCGAAAGGGGAACACCCGCAAGGGCCCACAGGTGATCAGCGACAGCGACCTGGACGAGGAGGACGAAGACGCCAACCTCACGATCAAGAAGTTGGAGGATCGCATTGCTGCCCTCAAGAAGCGCAGCAGCAGTTGATGCTGCGTCATGGAGAGCTCTCGCATGGTGGCACATCCAGCGAGGGCAGGCCTTTTGAATGTGCCCAAGGACAACCTGGGTCCAACTATGACATCAAGTATGACGCCATCAACTTGCACGCTCCGGATGAGCGCATGATGACGGTGGATGATGCGACGATCGGGCTCAGCAGTAATGGGAGTATGGCACAACACTATGACACAAAGTATAACACCATCACCTTAGACACTCCGGATGAGCGCAAGGTTTTGGTGAATGAGGCGACGATCGGGCTTGGCGTTGGTGGCTCTGAGATCATGTATGACACACTCACCTTGGACACTCCGGCTGAGAACGAGGTGCTTGTGAATGAGGCGACAATCGGGCACGGCAGTGATAGCTCGTCGGGGGATGGCCTATGTAGCGGGTCACCGAAGGCAAGGGCAAGAGCTGGCATGCGTCGTCGAAAGATGGCCAATCGGAGCACTACGCAGAAGCTGCGGGACGAGGCCGTGAACTTGTGCCACGTCATGATCGCCTGCACCCTGATGGTTGGAAGTTGGGCAAAGGACCTCACATGGAAGACCCACTTTGGGAAGCATGGGCGGTGTTGCAGCCCCGACACCACACGCGCCGTTGTGAGGCTGGCGCAGATTGTTTGGAGATCTTTGCGGGCGAGGCCAGGATTTCTGGCGCTTATGCCCGTCATCGACGAGCAGTGCTACAACCAAGGGACGTGCGCTACAACCATGACTTGCGCCGCCAACAAGATCAAGATGAAGTGGTGGAGGAAGTGATTTCACAGCGACCAAAGCTGGTATGGATGGCACCACCATGTACGTACTGGTGCAAATTCTCCCATTTGAACTACAACCGTCAGGAGCTGAAACGGCTCCGCAAGCGAGAAGCCGCACTGGTCAGGTTCACTGGTCGGATTTTTGAACTACAACACAGTCTTGGGGGCATTGCAGTCATTGAGAACCCCAGGAGCAGTGACCTGTGGCGGCATCCTGAGCTCCAACGTTTCTTGGGGCAAGTGGCATGTTTTGCCGATGTGGATCTATGCCAGTTTGGACTGAAGAGCCTTCAAGATGGGCGGCCTCTTCGGAAACCACTTGCTTTGCTGACCAACGACCAGGCCTTCGCCGACGGCATCACTCAAAAGTGTGTGGGAGGTGAACATGAACACCGGCCAATCCAGGGCCGTGACACAGCCTGGACAGCAGTTTACCCAACTGCTTTTGCCAACGCGGTTTTGCGTGAGGCAGAACGAGCATGGAACAACCCCAAAGAGCTCCATGTGCAGTTCCCCACGGACTTGGTGCAAGCTGAGGATGCCAATGATGAGCAGGAGGTTGCGGCTGGCAGCCATGACTGGGAGCAAGATGCCATTGGAGCCGCAGGGATCTCCTTCAAGGGCAAGGTCAATCCCCAGGTGGTTTCGGTTTTGAAACGGATCCACCAGAATCTTGGACACCCGCCGAATCGTGACCTGGTCCGACATTTGCGGCTGGGTGGAGCACCCGAGAAGCTCATCAGAGCAGCAGAGCAGTTGGTTTGTCGCACATGCGAAAGAAGCACGAGGCCTCAATCTTCAAGGGTGGCTCACCCGTGTGTGGCGCTGGACTTCAATGAAGCCATTGCAGCGGATGTCATTTGGTTGGACACTGCCACCAGCCGGAATCATCCGGCACTCAACATTGTCGACATTGCCTCTACTTACCAAGTGGTGGTGCCAGTGAGTAGCACAAAATCTGAGGAATTGGCACGTGCCATGTTGGAGGGGTGGATCAACTGGGCTGACGCACCAAAACACTTGCTGGTGGATCTTGACTCTGGCTTCAGGGACCAGTTCCTCAAGCTCATGGACAGCCGCTCAATCATTGTGCGGTGTGCGGCTGGTCAAGCACATTAGCAAAATGGTGTATGTGAAAGACACGGCGCTACATGGAAGTCAATTTGGAGCAAATTGGTGGATGAGCTCACCGTGGTGGAAGAAGAGTTTGCTGAAGCAGTAGCATGCACCAGTGATGCCAAGAACCAGCTGCGCAACAAGTCTGGATATTCACCTCGCCAGTGGGTCTTTGGAACCCAAATGAAGATGACTGGCGACCTTTTCGATAGCCACCTTGGCCCTGAGGAGTTCGACAATATCACAGCCGATGAGAAAGTCAGCCGCTCACATGCCATACGACTTGGTGCACGAGCTGCCTTCTTCAGCTGTCAGACCAAGGACGCTTTGCAACGCGCTGTTCAGCACAAAACCAGAGTTGAGAAGACCGAGTATGCAGCAGGTGAGCTGGTCTACATCTTCCGTGAACTACGTCAGCGGAAGGGCAAGAAAAGTGGCAGTGCGTGGATCGGGCCCGGCACAATCATCGGGCGAGAAGGGCACAACTATTGGGTGGCGAGAGGTGGACGTTGTCTTTTGGCCGCCCCAGAGCATTTGAGGACAGCCCATCATGAGGAGATTTCTGAGATGATCAGACTCAAGACCTCCATTGCAGAGCTGCGCAAGGTGATTGACCAAGCTGATGATGACCTCATAGACCAAGATTATCATGAGGATGAGGTCCAACAAGGGCCAGAGCTCCCGGCCGATATGGATTGGGAACAACAGCCGCCTGACTTGAAGGAACAATCGGACATGGAGGTGGATCAGACAGGCGGCCATTTTGGGAAAGCCTTGCGCAGAGAAAGAGAACTTGAGTCACATGTTCGTCGTCGCGAAGCTTTAGACGACGTGCCTCTCACTTTGAAGAAGTCCCGAACAGACCAACAGGCCTTTATGGTCAAACACGCCATCTCAGAGAAGGGCAAGGAGAAACAACTTGAGAAGGAGTTGCCTTGGCAAATGATTCCTCCTCATGAAAGAGACATGTACCGCCAAGCAGAACAGAAACAATGGGACGAACACGTCCAATTTCAAGCAGTGAGGGCCCTCACCATTGAGGAGAGCAATGAGGTGATCAGCAGAGTCAAGCCAGACCGTATCTTGAACTCACGCTTCATCTACAGGGACAAGAACTATGCCAAGCGAAAAGCGGATGCCAGTGTCCCAGCTAAACCAAAGGCTAGGCTCTGCATCGCCGGCCAGAATGACCCGGACTTGGGCAAAGTGGACATGGTCACGGATGCGCCTACTACGTCGAGGCACTCTATCATCCTGGCTTTGCAGCTGGCCCTTTGCTATGGTTGGCGAGTCTCAGTCGGAGACATCCGTGCAGCTTTCCTGAATGGTATCCCTGCACCACGAGAGCTGTACTTCAGGCAGCCGAAACGGGGCATCCCCGGTCTTCAGCCCGGACAAATTATAGAAGTGTTGAAGGGTGTGTTCGGTTTGAGCACCAGCCCCAAGCTTTGGTGGATGAAACTTTCTGTCGATGTCAGGAAGATGAAAATCAGCTTCAACGGGGACACCTTCCACGTGATTCAGAATGTCATCGACCCCTGCGTTTTTCAGTTCATCAAGGACAGAGACTCATCAGTCTGTGGCCTCCTCCTGACTCACGTGGATGACTTGATGCTGATGGCCGCACCTGATTTTGCAAGCCATCTCCAGTCTGAACTCAAGAAGATGTTTCCCATTGAAGATTGGGAGCAAGACCATTTTGAGTATGTGGGCTGCGAGTACAAGTGCACCGCAGAACAAGTGACGATCACTCAGAAAAACTATGTGAGTGGCAGGGTCGAGAAGGTGTCAGTTCCAGCTGGGGCCAACGAAACAGACCCAGCCACGCCAGAGCAGGTGGAAGAGAACCGCACCGTCATAGGGTGCCTTTCCTGGCTAGCCAAACAGACCCGGCCAGACATTCAGTTTTCAGTTTGCCAAGCACAACGGAAGCAGCGGAATCCAGATGTTCGAGCGCTGAAGGAGACCAACAAAGTGGTGGCAGACGCTCTCGGTTTTCCAGAATTTGGTATCACTTTGAGGAAGTTGCCCAATGACCGATTGTGCTTTCTGGCTTACCATGATGCTGCGTGGGCCAATGCGACTCCGGACGACGCTGAACCCCATGATGATGCTTGGTTGGGCGGACATCAAGTGGCCTCTCAACTTGGCTCCCTCATTCTGTTGGCAGATACCAAATGCCTAGGAGCTGAAGGAGGCACTTTCAGCATGATCGACTGGAAGAGCAAAGCATCTCACCGTGTGTGCCGCTTTACTTTTGCGGGTGAGACAATGGCCTGCAGTGAAGCGCTTGAGGGAGCGCTCTTTTTGAGGGGGCTCTACATTTCCTTTGTGACTGGAGCCCGTGTTCCGGATAGTCAAGGTGGGGCACACTTTGACTTGCATCTTGTCACTGATTGCCGAAGCCTGTACGACCACATCCACAGAGAAGGAATTCCCCGTGCACCGAGTGAAAAGAGGTTAGCCATAGACCTAGCCGGTCTGAGGCAGGCGCTAATGAAAGAGGCAGAGTATCAATGGCGCCGCGAGAACGGGGAACATTTTCATCCTACTCCTGAGAGAGGCCTGTCCGACCTCCTCTGCATTGGTTGCCAACGCATGAGCAGTTGGCTGATCTTTTGACGAAACGATTGAAGGCGGATGAATGGTGGAGTAGGATCGAGAATGGCTGGCTGAGTCTTCCACTTAAAACCAATGCACAGGGAAGACAAAAATGCCAGGATTTTAAAGCAGTGTAAAAGCACTCCTTTTGCATGTTGCGCTGTGATTCAATCATTCAGCCACAATGGATCTGTGGCCGTATCAGGCACAAGGGTTTACATCAAGTGAAAAGAACGTTTGCATTTGCCTGCCATGAGCGTCATGTTGTCATAGAGCACTAACAGGTGTGCTGTGGACATTGGCTGACCCAGTGATTTCAAGCTCCGCGAAGTTGGGCGAACAAACAACGGGATCATAAAAAAAAGCACCACCGAATCACCATCAAAACGGGTACTTTTCAAGCGGTCCCTGGGCCGAGCCGTCCACCAGGTATCACCAGGGGAAAATGGCCCATCATTCCCATAGGATCCATGTATGCTATATATGGTAACATTTACCATCAATATACCCCCAATGTTAGCATATATACCATACATGGATCCTATGGGATTGAGCACCGGTATCCTGAAAAAAGACAGCCATAGCTATGGCGGTTTGACATTTGAAAGGAATCGTAAAACGAAGGGTCCTGCTTTGACATCTAGTTGTTTTATGTTGTTTCGAGAGTTTTGAAAAATCCGATTTTTCCTACCTGGGATGAATGATCTCCATTGACGAACATATTTTTCGGGGCAGTTGAACCCCCCAGAAAATATTTGGGACTACTTGGCAAAGACAGGGGTTTTTCATGGTTTTTCAACATGTTGGAACCATCCCCAAATACCCCCAAGTTTGGAGCTTTATCGTATTAGGATTAGGTTTACCCTCTGGTAAATTAACATAGCTATTGAAAATGACCATTTATGGTGGATTTACCCATTGACAATGGTGATTTTCCATAGTTATGTTAGTTTACCAGAGGGTACCATATCGAGAAAGAATCTTGTTTGCATGTGACATGGTATGATATATTTGTTTGTTTTTGAAACGCACCCCCTCCTAATCAAGCGTAGCTGCTTTGTTTAGGGCGCCCTGAGCTATAAGTCAATTTATCAACCGATATCAATCCATCTAACTTTGGAATACTATAGCAAACAAGTTAGTTTCTATTACTTACAATAACCATTGGAAAGTTCAGAATCTAGAGCTGTCAACCCATCTATAATCGACATATCATCGATATATCTACCGTCAACGTGTGGATCGCATTTCGTTCTGCACCGGGTCCAGCTGTTTCCACCTTGTAGGTAGCGACGCACGAGTGTTGAAAGGCATGGTCGCCGTGTGGACGGTTGATGGAAACCATGGTTCTGGCTGATGCTTTGAAATGTCTGGGTAAATTATAACGACCTCACTGCGACCTCACTGGAAATCATGGTTAGTAAGGGAAATCATCCCCAAATGGCCTTAATTCAGGTTAGTGAATTATTATAATTTACCCAGAAATGTGGCGGTGTCCATAAAACAAGATGCAGCCCACGAACCCGAATGCTCACACGTATGTTAATGGTACAGATGACGAAACACACGGATATGCGGTCACGCAGAACACTTTTCTGAAACTGTTTATTTGAACAGTCTTGTACATTTTTCCACTGTTACCATACCAGTGAACCGTAGACTGTGGAAGATGGAAGAAAGTGGCGTGCAAAGTGTGAAGTGTGGAGTGCAAAGTGACTGACACTTAGTGTCAACTGCAAAGCCCGAAGTGTAAAGTGTGGAGTGTAGAGTGTGGAGTGGTGTAAAAAGTGGAGTGTAAAGTGTGGGGTGTAAAGTGTGGAGTGTAAAGTGTGAAGTGTAAAGTGCAGAGTGTGGAGTGTAAATTGGGGAGTGTCGTGTGTAGAGTGTGGAGTGTGGGGTGTAGGGTCGGGAGTGTCGTGTGTACAGTGTGGAGTGTAGAGTGGGGAGTGTAAAGTGTAGAGTGTGGAGTGAGGAGTGCAAAGTGTAGAGTGTGGAGTGTACAGTGTAGAGTGTAGAGTGTAGTGTAGAGTGTGGGGTGTAAAGTGTAGAGTGTGGAGTGTGGAGTGTAAAGTCTGGAGTTTAAAGTGTGGGGTGTGGAGTGTGGAGTCTAAAGTCTGGAGTTTAAAGTGTACAGTGTGGAGTCTGGAGTGTAAAGTGTAGAGTGTAACGTGTAGAGTGTAGAGTGTGGAGTGAGGAGTGCAAAGTGTAGAGTGTGGAGTGTACAGTGTACAGTGTAGAGTGTGTAGAGTGTGGTGTGGGGTGTAAAGTGTAGAGTGTGGAGTGTGAAGTGTAAAGTGTGGAATGTAAAGTGTCGAGTGTGGAGTGTAGAGTGTAAAGTGTGGAGTGTAAAGTGTAGAGTGTAAAGTGTGGAGTGTAAAGTGTGGAGTGTAAAGTGTGGAGTGTGGAGTGTGCAGTGGGCCAAGTGTGAAGTGTGCACTGTAGAGTGTAGTGTGGGGTGTGGAGTGTAAAGTGTGGAGTGTAAAGTGTAGAGTGTAAAGTGTAGAGTGTAAAGTGTGGAGAGTAAAGTGTAGAGTGTAAAGTGTGGAGTGTAAAGTGTGGAGAGTGTAAAGTGTGGAGTGTGGAGTGTGCAGTGGGCCAAGTGTGAAGTGTGCAGTGTAGAGTGTAGTGTGGGGTGTGGAGTGTAAAGTGTGGAGTGTAAAGTGTAGAGTGTGGAGTGCGGAGTGCAAAGTGTAGCGTGTAAAGTGTGGAGTGTAAAGTGTGGAGTGCAAAGTGTGGAGTGTAACCTGTAGAGTGCGCAG